GATCTATCAGATTGTCGGGTGACACCCTTAAATTAGATTATTTTGTTAATTAGACCTTGAAATTTCGTACTTGTACTACGAAGCTCCGTAAATAGAGGTATGTCTATAATAGAATTAAAAATACAAACACGATTTTTTTATAATAAAAAGTCTTGATCACTATATTATTGAATCATAAAACGCTCTCGTCTGAAGAAGCAATTTGATGTCGATCAGAAGCAGACGTAAATTTTAGTAGATATTCAAGATTTTTAAATTATACAAATCTCCTCATAACCATCATCTAGTATTTAACCTAAATTCGGCGATTCTTTATCTGCTTTATAAATCCTAGTTATAATAGGAGTAATGCTTTCCACGTTGGTGGTCCGTTTATAAGAGGGATTTATTCTGCTTGATTTTTTTTCCTACTTAAGTTGATAAATAATCATTTGAAATATATTCGAACCGGTAAAATACGTTGATTTTAACATGAAATATGAGAATAAATGCAATTATTTATTATAATAAATACGTTAATTTATCTACAAAACACTCTTATATAACGTAAAATTTCATAGACCTTAATTTAGTTCAAAGGAAAGTTGCACTCTCTGCTAATAGAACATTCAATTTAATAGATACACGGAACCAAGCACATTTATTTCCTATTTTTGTATGCAATTTTCACACATAATCGTTAAATTTTGCAATCTAAGTACATAAAATTTAAGCAATCTGGATCTATTTTAATCACACCACGGCGCGCTGTTTCCTAATAATTAATGTAAATTTAAGACATAAATTAAACGATTTGCCACGCTTTTACATAAACTTTTATCCTTAATTTCTAATTTCAACAATAATTATCGCGCGTAAAATTATTGTTTTGTATCAATTAGTCTTTTTAATTCACATTCACCTGCTTGTATTCGATTATAACGATGGTTGCTTTTGTATCTTCCGTTGCTGATAGAAAATGGAAAACTGTTACGCGCTTTTAATAAGCCATTTGCATGTAATTACATTAAAGAAAAGTAAGTAAAATGTGCAAATTGCTATTAACAATTTAACGGTTAATTGCGAAATTAGGAGCATAAAGTAATTAAAATTGACGTACAAGGACTGTTACACGTCTTTTTCATATTTTTTTCTCTTTCTTCTTCGTATGTTGAAAAGCTTAACACTCTCTGTAACTGTAAAAGGGGGGAAAACATACGTGTTTTGTAATTATTTTGCTTCGAACGTTTTACCGCAAGAGTTATAAATCATGTTTGCGGTTGCGAAATTTTATTATTATTAATTATGTTTACTTATCCCATCAAGTGGAGTTTAATTCCGAAAGAGAAAAAGGAAGAAATTGTAACATGAATTATTGCAGTGATGTGCAATACTAAAGTGCAGCGAATTCTGGCATTTTAGATTTATAGTGTGTTGCATGTTCTGTTCGAATGAATTATTTTATGGCTGAAAATCTGGTTCATCAAGAAAATGTTTAATTGCTTTTTTTCCGGATACAATTCCAAGATGAAAACTCTGCTTTCTTTTATTGAACGCCGCTGTTCCTCAAGGAAATATACTTTGACCTATAGTTTTAAGAATTTATCAGACAAAGAAATTATAAAACTTAAAATAACTTAAGAATTATAAATTATGCAAGTAACATAAATATTTAATAGAATATTGTATTCTTTAACATTAGAAAGATAATATTGAATATGATAATAATTGTTAAATATTGTTTATTCAACAGTACAATAAATACTTGAGTACAAATAAATAATTAGGAATTTAATTAAAGACACAATGAGTTTGAATGAGCTCATCAAAGCTGGAATCAAGACAAATGTAACTGACAGACAAATGCAAGTGACGAATTTTTTGATTGCATTATATTCAGTCAACCTACTAAAACTAATTGCTCTCAATTAAAGCTTATGAAACTAAATTCATTAATTAATGTAGACCAACCGTTTCTAAACATCTATTGGTCCTTAATTAAAGCTATACAATCAATTTTTGTTTACCTAAATGAATTTAGCATATTAACGTTACATAATCAACATATTTTTCCTGGAATTTAAGTTTTTAAACATACATAAATAAAATTGTTACAGTGATACGAGTTCTTTGACTCTTGCATTGTATTATGCAATTGCAGGATTTAACTTCAATTGCATAATATAATCAATTGTTTTTGTTTTAATTTATGAATCATCATTTCTCTTGAAATTATTGTAGTGATGCTGGTTTGATTTATTGCGCTGACATAATAGTAGCTTTGTTCTATCCATATTAATTAAATAATTACAAGCTCATAGTCTACATAATAACAATTTGCATTTTGCATTTGCGTATGTAAATTAGTCAATAATAATTATAGTATTATAATTCTCGAATTTTCATATTGTGTTCAAAAATGTATGATAATCATTAATTTATCATTAAAGTTAATGTTTAAGAACATTTACCAGTCCTCAATATTTTAAATATGTGACTAAATGAGATTTAGTAAGCTTTATTAGAAAAAACTTTGCGTTAAATTAATTGTATAATAATTGTCAAATAACTTGTTCTTGGGAAACTAACTACAATAATCGACAAGTCATTTACTAGAAAATACTACAAGCAGACACAAAGTTTATTGTTGGACATGGACGTATATAAGCATCAAATGAAATTATTCAACAATTATTACTTTTAAATGCGACGTATTGCTTAATTATAGAAAGATAAGTCGATGGAATCGCATAGAATGTGAAATATTCTGTTCCGACTGTATGCATCATTGCCATCAATAAGCGTACGGTTATGTCACAACCTGACATTTGCCTAGTTATTGAAATGTCAAAAAAATTCCAGGTTAAGTGAATCGGTTTTTCCAAAAGGCCGACCTGCTAGATTTCATCCCTGCCGGTGCGTTGCGTAAGAACTGCGTTTAACATTTAAATTGGAGTCAATTATTAGTCTTTCGCATCGAGAATGGATGAACCGCGATGGCCTTGTTTATTGATTCATGGATGGCGGCATTTCGAGAACTGATTTAATGGTTTCTTTGAAATCTCACTTCGCGGTGCACGAGAGCATATAAATATTCCCGGTTCAATTAATGTCTGTGATGCGATAAAGTGTCTTTAATATTTCTGCTTGCGGTCTTCCTATCAATCATGGTTAGCTCGTTGAGAGACAGTCCATGCCAGACATTCCGGCTCCCATCGGCCGCACAAACGCAAATGCGTTTTAATTTAGGATCATCATGAAACATGCAACGTGCAGAAGCAGCAACAATAGTTTCGGACAGCTTCAATTGTTTGATGGATATGCTTTTGGGTTTTGGTACAACGCAGATCATTTAAATGGGTTCGATCGACATCATCACCTCAGGCTGCTGTCCCGCGAACGGCACGTGTCTACGAGTTTCGTATTCCATGATAGAGTCATATAACTTAAACTGACTGGTCGTAAGTGATAGAAAAGTCTATTTCGCCGCGGGAATATTGCGTGGAGCGCAAAATTATATTTATAGTCCGCAATGAGGAAGCCGAAATTTAGGTTGAATTAGTACAGATGCTTCATCTGAAAACGCAGAAACCTCACAATGCAGTCCGGTCGGTCTCTTTGGCTGTAGGCCAAGAAATTTTTTCAATTATTTTGGCAAATTCAAAGCGTTTAAAAATACTTTCTGTATCTCTGTATCATCGGCTTGTTTAGAGTACACGATGATCCATATTAATTATTTATTTGAAATGACCCAAATCCATCTCTTCACGACTCGATGCCATCTGTTAACAACACAAATCGTTACGGAAGTAATTACTTAATCCAATATATTATTATAAGATATGCAACATTCATAGAAATTTCTTATATATTCAATTAAATTTTGTTAAATTGTAATGACCTCTTCACAACTCGATGTAATCTCTCTCAACACCACAAATCAACGAGGAAGTAATTTTAATAATCGATGTATTACCAAGAAATACAACATTCTGGAAATTTCTGGAATTATTGATTAATTATCTTCAAAATGTATATATAAAGAAGTAGTAAACTTTATTTAAATGTTTATATTAAGGGTTGAAAAGAATTGATACATTAAAAATTTAACAATTATGAAAAATGAAGAATGCTTCTAATTATATGCTCATCATGAGCTCATCTGAAATAGAATCAAACCAATTGTAAATACGAATGGCGAATAATTAGATGCATTGTTTGAAATGGTCCGCGCCTACCAAAACCATCTCTCTTCAGAACTAGAATGTCGCCTCTTAACAAACCAGCGATCAATGAGGAAGTAATTAACGGGACGCAATGTTTAAAAAAAAGATATGAAAGAAACGATTATGCATATGTGTACATGTTTTATCTAAGGTGTGTCCTTAGAAGATACCTTATGGGCATAACAGGTGCTCGATAATAATTTTCTATTATTCTCCTCTTCCTTCTCCATCCGTCCATTCATCCTCTCCGCAAACCTACCTACCGGATGGATGATTTATGGGTCGCCGTTAAATCGATATTATATTGATCGGCTATTTTGTTATTGTAACCATTGGCTTTTTATCTATTCCACGCATCCGAACGGAACGGAGTGGAGTGGAGAAGAAATGAAGTCATTTGCATAGTACAGGTGTACACAAGTCGCGGCCGTAAATCACGAACGTGTGAGTGTGCGTGCGTGTAAGGCTTTCCATATATCTTCTGATACCTCTCCGATGTTCTTCCTTTTCTTTATACCTCTCATCTTCTTTTTCTTCGACATCGTCTTCCTTCATTCTTTCAGCCTGTAAATGGCGTTGACATTTCGTGATTTGAAATTTGTTAATTGCCGTGCGTGTATTAATTACGCCATAAAAAAGGAATGTTAATTGCTCAGGTTTTCCTTGAAAGGCACGGAGTGAAGAAAGAGGAACGGCCAGCCGAGGTGGCAGATGTGCGAATCGGATATATAAATAATTTGTGATTGGAATTAGCGACTCATTTCGCAATGTATATCTTGTTTTTCTCTTTTACAGGAGAACGAAGACGAGCAAAAGTATGGAGACGAGTTCGAGGAGGAGGCGGAGGACGAGGACGAGCGAAAGCACCATCGTAATTGGCAGGCGGAGGAAGCTACCGACGACCCGACGTCTCTAACGCAGATGAAATGGGACAGATTTGGGACACGGGCGAAGGTTGAAGAAAGTAGAACGAACCAGATGAACAACAGGCAGACTTCCTCGTTCTTAGGTATTGTATACGCATTTCGCAAAATCAGTAGCGTCCTGTGCCAGGATCAGCAAACCTGCAGATCCTTCAATTTAAAATATTTAATTATTGGCTTTATTAATTTCTTAAATAATTTATATCTTTTATACAAAAAAATGTTCCGTTAAATATTTTCAATCCATATAGATTTTTACATACATTCAAATGCGTATGAGCCGCCACTGGTCCTGTTACATAAAACATAATCCGATCGAACGGACAGATCAAATGCAAAGCCGATATAAATGCAAAGTCCCAATTAACATTTTTTCACATTTGAAACACTTCGAGTATCTGTCAGTAATCCGACTTCAAGAAGACCGCATGTTTTATTGTAGAGCTAATTGGACGACATCGTTCCCAGAACCTGAACTATTTTTATCTATTCCCCAAATGCTTTTGGCTAAAATTCATATTTTCTTAATAATAAAATAATAATATTATTTGCTTGGCGCATCGCGCTACCACTTTTGCTGACCGCAGAATCATTAATACGAAAATAAACTGCACAACCTGCTACTTAAAATACATTGCAAATGATATTTTCGTAAATAAAGCTGAAGATGAGCAGCAGTGTTAAAGCCTTTTTACCTTTTACTGCTTACGGGAATTTCAAGGAGTCTCTTAAACAACTTTCGAAAGATGAACATTAAACTCTGAGTTATCAATAGTAAATTAACAGATCATTAAATATAACAATTTATTATTTAGTTAGTAACTCATGCAGTATACAAAAATCATGTTTCAAAGAATAAAAGTTATTTTAACTTAAATTTTTAATCTGCTTAAGAAGTAGAATCAAATTATTAAAATTACTTACAAACCTAGTATAGAGAACAAAACAAGAATTATGTAACATTTTCAGACAAATAATTCATCCACACTCTATATCACATGAGACATATTCATCGTATGAAAGAAGTGACATAAATTTATATAATATTTTACTACTGTCAATTTAGTTTCAGTGTCATCGAACTCCATGACAACTTATAATTCGTTTGGTATTTAGTATTTGGTGCAATTGATTGACATTTATGTCACAATAAAATAACTAAGAAAATAATTGAACCATATTTAGTCTGATTTCAAAGAAACTATTACGAAATACTGATATAAACATTATGTTTACAAGTTAACCCTTTGAAGAGCCAGAAATTCCAAATTTCTAGACAACTAAATCAGACAACTTGATCAACTGATATAAACTACAAAAATTCTTCCTTGACATACCAACCAAATTGAAGTGTAATTCGTCTTTCCTGTACATTTTCTATAAAATTAAAATAATGCCCCAATAGGCATGTACAAAAGGTGGTACAATGCGAGTCCCACCGCCCCTCAATGAGTTAAAATCTAAACTTTATACAATGATTTATTTCATTGGGGAAATGAAGGGTTTTGAAAAGTGTTTAAATAATTGTATATAGCTGAAAAAACAATAATTTATACTAGATAATCTAATCTTATGTTGTTATTTAATAGAAAATTAATGATGTTTAAGAATTGTTATTAAAATTAATTTATTTACGCCGAGGATTATACAACATGTAAACACGTCAGATAGTTATGTAAAAGCGCTACTTCATTGATGACCGTCTTCAATTAAGACGATAAACGAACAGACGTCTCTCCGATAACTGACTGCTCATAGAATTATAAACGTTTGCTATATATAAAAGTCTCTCCGGTCTAGGAATGCACAGAATACTTCCTTTTCTGTCCATTCTATCAACAGGCATGCGAGATATTGAAAATTATTAGTAATAAAATAAAGCCTCAGACTAAGTGACGTCGAGTGCAAAAGGACCCGAACCCAAGCAATTAAAGACAACAAAGCAAAGGATCGCACAGCTTTTGTTTTATCTTGGCGCATTATAAGAGTATGAGTCATCGCTCTTCCACACCATTACATAAACTCTCGTCGTTTCTTGTCGTTCCGTTTTTTTTTTTGGTTTATCCACTTCGCTTCTTCATCGCTATTAGCAGCTGCGATGCTCTTGCTCCATGCCAAAACCCTATATGAAAATAAGCGAACGCGTATATAGTAAATGTAATTATAATTCGAGACATGATACTCTTTGAATTCCATCATTGCTTTGGAAATGCATTTTTTATTCAACTGCCTTCGGTTTTGCAATTTGATGTATAGTTTTAAGAAAAAAAAAAACGATTCCCTTGCAAATGCACTTTTCTACAATAAAAATAACTCTATTATGGGTTGAAATGTTCTGTTTTGTTGACTGAAAAAAAAATTGTAAATTATTGTTTCTCTTTTACGCACGTTTCTCGCATTTATTACAAGAAGATTGAAGTTGTAAAGCAGAATTTCTCAAGAAAAAGAGTGTTTACACTTGGTATTTTCAACGTACATTACACCAAACATAAATACTTTACATGAAGAATATATTTATTACATAGTTTTCTGACTTTTAGTCAAATTATATAAATTTATAGGTAAGATACAGGGCAAACAAAGAAAACTATTATAATTAATTGAATACATTACTCTTATACTCAAAAAATATGTCAATATTTAGTACCAAGATAGAACTAATATAGTTTTTTTTTAACATTTGTTATTTTACTACGTTTTTTCTCTAATTTTATATCTACATTACTTTAATCAATGTATCGAATTTTTTTTTATATATTTATAAAGGTCCAAGAAAATTAATACACTTAGTTTAATTTATTGTTTTTCGAGAATTTAGAAAAGTATATGGAATTAGTAAAACTAAAGGTTTTTAAACTCCAATAAAACATTTTAATGTCAGACTTGACACAAGTAAAAAATATACAAAGGGGTTTTGATCAAGAATTATTTAATCACCTTTTTAAATTTTATTTAAGAACTACGATTTAAATATAAAATATAAAACTTAGTGACATAAAGTTAATTTAAAATTATAATTATACTTAAGTGTTAATAATACAGCAATTGAATAAATAGAAAATTCAATAAAATGCAATGACTTTTATGAATAAGCCTTATGCAACAGGAGATTGTGTCAGAATTGTTATTTACAGCATCACGAATGACCTTTTGAGATATTTACATAATTTTTACTTTTGAACACAAATTAAAATTAAAATTTGAAAATATTGCTTGAACTATTTTTAAACTATGATTATTATTTAAAATATGTAACATTAAGATAATATTAACGTAATAATCTTCAGATAACTCATTATATAATATTAAGTAACCTAATAGAAGGTAATTATTGCAATTTATAAATAGTTCTTCGATTAAAAATGCATCATATTATCACAACTTTATGATATTGGCTAACAATAAATTGTTACTTAAAATAAATAATTTAGTTTGTCCAGTTAACATGACTTTATTGTATATTTTGTTTAATTCTCATGTATATGCGAAGATTCAGTAAGCTAATTATTGGGAAATGTAATACTTCGGTATTGGATTCTTGGGCAGTAGTAAACAAACAGCCGTCGAAAATATTGTCTAAGGTTTCATAAGATGAGAAGTGCTTGAGGACATTTGGGCGTGGGTCGCTGTTATTTGTGGACGATGCGCGTGCCGTAACTTCGAGTGGAAATCGTGTCTTTGGTGAAATGTGCGCGTGTATTTTATTTGTCTTCGGTGTTGGAGGAGAACTCGTGCGCGGATTTTAATGGTCGGTAATTGAGTGCTGACAAGTTGAAAAGAAGTCGCGGATCATCAGATGAAGCGTCGCAAATAAAAGAGCTTCTTCGGTCGAGTCAAGTCAGCGAGAGCCTGGCTGAATCTCCTCCAACTGCAAGGAAAGCAGATCCATAGACAAAGCCTGTAATTATGTGCCTGAACGAACACATACCGCCGTCGCTTTCGAAAGATTTATCTTCGATAATGATATTTTTTTTTAAATAACAATTTTCCCATTCCGATGTTTGCAGGGGCGAGAGCTAAAACCTCTGAAGTGATCGACCACATCCGAAGGGTGAATCTGGAGGCCAAGTGCAGCGTACCAAGGTTGAAGGTGGTCAACATCCAGGAGGAACGGCCAAGTCCAGGCAAGACTTACCTACCGCATTGCACCGTCCTTCATCGATGCTCAGACGACACCGGGTGCTGTTCGTTCGCTGAAACCAAGTGCCAGGCCAAGAAGCAGACTCTGGTCTACCTTTACTTTTACGTGAGTACATAAATCTGTCCTCAATTAACGATAATTACATAGTATTATTAATGATAATAAATTCTCCGCGGTTCGATATCCATTAGGCCCGACCGATGCTAATGATTGCATCTCTCATTCAAATATCCATTCACTAAACATATTTTGCAAGAACCGCTTGCGACAACAACGCTGGGAATTAAATAAACAAATGAAGCTATTTCGCAATGGTTCAGTTGAGCAAGTTTATTAATCGATGGATATGTTAGCGGCAATATGTATAATTGTGTATTCAGCAGACTACAGAGGCATTCATGGAAATTGGTTAAGTTCTTTTTTACCAATCTAATAACAAATACGTTTAATTAGAGTGTATGAAAAAATACATGAACATAATATTTTAATAATAATATTTATTGTAACACTCATATAAAATAAATATTTATTTATAATTCAGTATGAAACAAACATATAAAACGTTACAAAGGACTACTGTCTTTCCACACAAAATTTTAATAATAAAATAATCATGTTATGAGTATATACGAGAAACAGATCATAAAGAAAAAGTAGGTTTATGTTCCAAAAGCGTCTTTTCTTAGTGATATAAACGACAATGACTTTAAACGTAAATTTATTTTTATTTAATTGAGGTAATTCATGTAAGTTAACAATGCACATAAAATACCGCGCTTTGCACTTACCGTTGACCCAGCAAATGACACTTTCTCGGGTTTTATGTGTATTTTATATGATCATTCGAATTGTTTATTGATTTAAATTGAAAGTCCTTGCAAGAACTTCTGGTTTTACTTTTTTCTTTAAATTGATCCAATATCATATTAACTTTACGCTTTATATGTAAAAAAAAACGAATAGACTATTGAAATCGAGAAAGTACCGATAAGATCTAAAAATATTTCACCAGTACTTCTAAAAGCGAGGATGGCAGTTGTTACCTATTTTTGCCGACCCATTTTTGTACTCAAGCAAATACTCACTTGTATTTTCAGCAATTTATTGTATTTTCAGCAATCTAGTCAGAAGTAACTAAAACTTTTTTTGTATATTTGTTTTTTAATATAAGGAGTTATATAATATAACCATAAAAGTAAGACATCTACTCTACATCAATCATTAGAAAGAAAAAAATGTCAAAGTATCCGTTACAATCGTCAAAGGTATTATCAAAGATTTACCTGTGTGTTCAAAAAATATAACGAGAAAATGGGAGTAGTTGATCTAAGTGTGAACACTTATTGTATTCATGACAAGAAATTGTGGTGGGTACTACCTATATGTTGGAACTAACTATGAAGAACGCATGAAAACTGTAACAACTATCATCTGGCCAAAAAAATAACTTAATTGGAGTTTACAAGAAACATTGTACGGCATTTTTTATTTAGAACAAATAAAGCACAGTGCAGATAATATTCAGTCACTGAAAGTATACAATTTGATAATACTGGAAAATTTCCAAAAGCAATCCCCTACAAAACGTTTTAAAAATAAAATCAATGTTTTTTTGTTGCAGTTTGGGAAAATGCGTTAAAAAGTTGAGAAACGCTGTTCTACAGAATACTTAAGCATACTGAATTATAAACTTTGTCTCTAATACATACACATTTAATCAATTTTGTAGTGCGGTATCTTATTGAAAAAACTAGGCCCGTTGTGTTAAAAACGGCCTCACCCGTTGTTCGTCACCCCAATCGAGAACCCTTTTAACTTATTTACCACTTTATCATAAGTGTCAACTCGAATGACGCCTGGAACGTAGACCAAACCAAATAAGAGAGAGAGAACAAAAAAGAAGGGAAAATAAAGCAGAGAACGTGTAATGCACGTTATCGGTTATTAACGTTGAAAGGGGCCCTCTGATAAAATCAACGAAATCCTAGACCAGTTGCGCTCTTTAACGACCCACCCTGCTCTTGGCACATAAATCAATGGAAGCGTAAGATCTCAATAACAATATCTTGATTCGAGCTATTAAGCACTCTCATGAATATTGATAAAAAGAACTTACAAAACAAAAAAAAAACTTAAAGCATACACAGTATGGGGAATTGGAATTTATGGTGATCAACGAATCGTGCTAAATAAATCTCTACGTCCCTTTGTTGCCACTTTAATTTTAACGCCCCATTAATCTCCTATTAAACCACACATTAGTAAATAAAACACACATAGAAAAAATATATATTTTTTTAGCTTCCCCCTTTATAATCACTGAAATATTTATTATACAATCACATTAGTTCGAATGAATCGGAGAACGAGATTTAATCATTGATTGGAATTGAATATAAATCACAATCAATGCGGACTGTAAAAAAAGAGCTTTCGGCATCGTAACCTATTTTACGAATATATTCGGGTCCGTTTAAATCATTCGAAGATGAATGCTAGCTGCTCTCAGCTATAATCAATACCTTTCTTTTCACATGAAACTTAGCCATAAAACATTATAGATATTGCCGTTTTCAATATTGCAATTTATTAACTGTGTAATTACAGTTTCTAACTTTAAATTTCCAATAATTTAGACTATGTTTTCTTCGAATAACGTTTTATTTTTTATGGCTAATCTTTCAAACAATTATAATTTCTTCTTTGTAGATTTAAGCAATACGTATGAAATTACAAGGACTGCGTACTTAAAATTCGAAATCGATAACTATCTATTTATATTTAGCACCTTCACGAATTACTTGCAATGGATAAAACAAATTAATTATCTATAATTTCAACAACTTAAAAAATGTAATTTTCAAATGATAAAACTATATAGTTCAGTAATGTTTGTAACAATAAAAGACATTCTTCGTTAATTTTAGTACCAATATTTTTTCTTATAACCTTATTACAATGCATAATAAACTTTCAGATTTTCTATTGTGACGAAAGTCAGAAATATTTTAATTGATAAAATAAAATATCTCGCATAGTGCGGGAAATCGGTTCCTCCAATAACTGTTTCAAAAGTGACTGTATAAAGTGAAAACTATCATTTATGTATAAAAAAAAATTGTTTGTTTACTATTTAGAATTAATTTGAAATTCACTATAGTAAAAATTAAATAATCGTGAAATATAAACACTAAATATTTGACGATTAGTCGAAACATCTGTATCATATTCTCTTTTACCTCTCAAGCACCTGCATTAATCCGCCAACCTAGCCACATTCCTGTCGTCCGTGGTACCTTCTTTACCTTTCGTCTTGATGAAATCTCTCACCTTGCACCTCGTCCTTTGCAATTTCCGTAAAAATATCAATGAACTCAACTTTTACATTGAATCAAATCTCAATGAAAAACACACTCAAAGTTATTAAAAATCAAATAAATTACCATTTATATTAAACCTACAATAACAATAACAAGTCACTTTTAAAATTATTAAAAAATAACCCGATATAAATTTTAAATAAATTATTAATAACCTTGTTTGTTTAATGATTAATTATAGCACTTAACAATACACTCTTTGAATGAATTATAAATTCGATTTAAATATTTTCTTTGTTACAATAATATAAGAACAACTGGCAGAATGGTCGATAACCATTTTGTTAATAAAAATTATAAATAAATAAGAAAATTTTTTATTTTATATCTATTTGAAGACACGATTTCTAATAATAAACCCGGAATGTGCGTAACGTTCAATATTTGTACTCTGCACTGCGATTTCTACATTAGACGAATTGCATAATTGCGAAGAGTTGAGCAGCAGTGGAAGATATTGGAAAAACGAAGAACTTAACTTATATAAGAAATATGGATAGTTGTGCGTTCTACTTTCTAGATGTTTTCGTTTCTTATTAATGTGATTGAATTATTGTTTTTTGTTGCAACACTTAGAAATGGTTGATTGCACATGATCCTTTCCTCTGAAATACATGGTATTGCAGGAAATTGCCTTAGAATCAGAAATTTCAGCTCAAAAAATTCTGTATTTATTAGAAGGATTCTAATATGCTCTCTCAACCTTGTGCCATTTAATACGTATCAATCTTGGAGAATCATTTCCGTTCTACTGAAGTATCGATAAAACATAACATTTTATTTATTTGTCTATCAATTTACTTATTTCATTTATTTAGTAGTATTTGAGTATTTATCATTTTTTATTACATTTTATCATAATATTTATAGTTACTTAAATCTATAAAATGCACATGAGATTCAAAATTTTATGATAAAAAATCGTTACGATTATACTTAAAAAATAATGATTAAGAAATAATGATTTTGCAGAATAAAATAATAGAGGAATTTCCGGCAACTAAGTATATTTTTGTTAGATATAATAACTAGTTATTCTAAGAAAGAGGGTACATGAAAAACCCAACTGAAGACGTTTAATGTTGCAGTTGTAGTAGTGCTACGATAATTTTAATTGTTACAATGTTTATTAAACACAAAGAAAACAACAACTAATTAAATTCGTATTGCCACAATCGCAGTAAGAAATCGTACATTGCTCTTTGTTTATCGTCAATGTTTACAAAATATATATATATATTTGTCATTCGGCGCAGACGTGAAGGACACTAGGCAAACGATCGGTGAAAGGTGTTGAATGCTCCTTGTATACACCTTGTCCCGAACAAAAAAAAATCTTTTTTTTATTTCCCAACTGGGACCCATAAACAGAAACAATTAAACATCCTAAATTCAACAAAAAAAATAAAATAAAAAAACATTTATTGCTCTGAAAATCGACAGATTGATTGAGTGTTATTAAGGGCTGTATTTAAAGGAGAAGTATAAATCAAGTAGTAGAAAGTGAAATAGATGGAATGAATTCGGTTGCTGAGTAATTAATTAAATGTGGACGTTTATATATATATGCATTAACAAGTACCACTAAGGTTAACGGCCTTAATTAATTCTAATAAAATTTAATTCGAAATTATAAATGTACTCGTGTCCTGAAGAAGACTTGACCGAGTGCTCCAAGTGTGCGCCTCCGGGCCCATCTGTTATAGAGGGCAAAATCCTTTTCATAAACCCGAACAGGATTAATCAATTCGACTGTTTATAAAATATTCAGGATTAATTAATCCGAGAAATCCGTGTGATTTCGATTCGTGAAATTTTTGTGGACTTTCTAAAGCATCTACTACAATATTGTCTCAATGTAATTAAATCAGATTGAGCTGAACATAAGTTCGTTTTGAAAGAATGTTGATTGATATCATCGTCGAAGAACTTAAACCGATTTCGTGTATTAAGAAATCGTATTTCTTTCCACACCTTTACGAGAATCGCCTTAACTTCCTTTCGTACTTACGGAAATATTGTGACTGAATGCGCGTTATGCCAATCTGCATATGAATTATGTTTCCATCACAAACGGGTGGAAATGACCGAGAACAACGGTGTTTGAATAGTAAAAAGAAACTTTAACGACTCGCAGATTACACGTTGTTGTTACATTGTAATTATGGAGAACTTATCCCGAAGTAATGCAAGAGCAATTTCCGGTTTTCATTCATTATGTTGTGTGTGGTTAGTGTGTGAGGCGTGTGCGCTGGGCATTATGTAAGTGTTCGAGATGAGGACACAAAAGAAGACGTGGAAGGTAGTGCAAATCTGAATATAATGGTTGAGACCACCCGGATTCTATCTGCGACTACGGCGATCTGCATAATAGCCGAGTAGACAGATTTGCAATTCCACACAGAAAACAATTATAGGCAAATAATAATTAGATGCGCTATCATCATCATCATGAACAACATAATCATTATTATCATAATCATCTTTGTGAAATTAGTCTGCGGTTTCTCCGGGGGAGCGATACTACGTGTGGGGGCAATGCAAGATGATATGTGATGGATTGAATGCCGCCGCGCTCACTGGCAACCAGTGAAGAATAAGAGCGAATTTCCAATTTGTTTTTGTCCCAATGACCTGGGATCGCGACAATCCGCAATCCGCCACGTCCCGCGACCTTTTTTCCCTTCTTGTTTTCGTTTCGTTTACTTTTATTCAGGCTGAATATAAACTTGTTTCGTTTTACAAAACCGCAGACTAGCATGCTGGGCCATCAGGGCAGCAAGGTGGAGAGGTTGGCCTTCTACAATCACACCGAATGCGGATGCCAGAAGATTGGTGCGACGCCGACGGACGTAAGTGCTCCCCCCGAAAATCTTCGCATGGGGAGGAACGGCGGTCTGAGTGTCCGATCAGCCTCCAGTTTATTCGATGATGGGTAAGAATACAAAGCTATTATGTTTCCCAACAAAAATAACATCCATCTCTTTTTGCGTTTTAGGTGTACCTGTCCCGAGGAATTCCTTCCTAAACGAAGGTTTGGAAGCAAATGCACTTGCGACTGCATTACATCCAATTCCGGATGCATCAATATGAAGAAAGGCAGAGAACACTTCTCTTACAAAGATAGAGTGTACGTACATTTCATTCTTCTATATTTAGTTCATTTATGCATAATATTTCTTTTCAATTTTACGTTTGCACAAAAGTTGACATTTTAGTTGGCCCATACAATACTTAAATTAAATATAATATATTCATCATTAGACAAGAGAGCAATAAGTTTATTTTTTTATTGATATTTTTTGGACCCTGTATTTGATCTAATGTACATTTACACATAATTTACAATTAGTATTTCTTGTACGAGTATATTTTTATACCTGTTGTTTTTTAAAATATCTTTATTACAAGTTGGTATTTTTTTTTTACAAATTAAACAATCCATTATTTACTCAAAATTACTGTAAAGCAAGTACTTTTATTGCAGCAAACCTTATAATTGGATAACGTAATAAGTCGATTCAAATAGAATTAGCACTTTATACGAGAACAATATCCATTGAAAGCGCTATCTTCAGCAATAAATTCTTCGAAGTTACTCATGTAAACTCATAATAAATTAAGAACAAACACGTTTTTAATGAAAGACTTCTTTAGCATGAATGAAAATTGCTATTGAACTATAATACAGACATGCGTAAACTTGAATGTACAGTTCGTATTCATCGAGCTGATAGTAAATGCAGACGAGATGTAAAGATAACTTGCTTAAGTATTGCCTTTGACCAGTCGATCTGAAGTCTCAATTCATGTATTCATTTATATGAAAGTGGTACAAACAGTATTACGTAAATGGCGTCGTGGAGTCACGGTCTCCTGGTGAACTTTAACAAGAAATAATGACTAATTGATAAGGAGATCAAGTGAAAAACAATTTTGTGGGTCAGCAGTTTTGTTAAAACGAAGTTTTTTTCGGAACAATTTCACAATTTCAATACTATTTACTTATTTTAGGTGTATATATAACGAGAAGTGCGGAATCCCCAACTGTGAGTATGGTCCATACATTCACCAGAGAGGAAGGTGTCCAAAGAAGCAGGAAAAGTTGGATGCGTACGCAAACGTGACGCGCATCCAGAACTGAAGCCAGATTTTAGAGTAATTTTAAATGTAATTTATATTCTATACCAGTGATATATAAATATTTTATAAAACATTTCGAAATAGTATTGTTTCGCTTAAGGAAGAATATATCTGTCGTAAATCCTCTCCTCACCCCTCTCCCCCCAATTACCCTTCATTAGAAATCTATAAAATCTTCGCGTTTTTATTTTTTATATGATTTTTTGTTTGTTTCTTTTATTATATATTTTCTCTTGTGTATAAATAAGTGAAGTAGATTGTGCAGTGATCGCAAATATTTAGATCACTTTGTCCAACCCTAGTCTTATATTATATATTATTGTAATGTGCTTTAGTATTTTAACTTTTTTATATATATATAAATAGAAAGAAAATATGTGTAGTTCAATCAACGTTAAATTTAATGTAACTTATAGACAAATGAAAGCTTTCAATGTAACGAGTTAAAATTCCCATTTATAACAAAATATTTCTGTCGAAACCAATTTTATGTGTAGGAAGAGAAGGAAGGAATATTAAAATAAATAAAACAAGTATATCTGACGTAAAACGACATTCGTTATTCGACCTAGACAAACACCACCTAACAATTCCTTATAATTTAAACATTCATAAAATATATATAATATTAAAATATTTCTAACAGTTCATAAAGCCTCCTATTAACAATATTGACCTAATCACAATTAGTTTCCCGTTCATTCTAAACCGGCAGTGAATTCGTATTTATTATCATTATTTTATGAAATTCCATTAAACTACCATCAAAAAGACCCGTCATCAAACAGCCTTTTCGTAAGGCAACAGTTTTCTGATCCAGGAAATCAATAATTCCAGTTCGTGCTTTTTCAATTCATGAAGAGTATTCTTCAATTGGACATATTCTCCCTTAACACCCAACTCTGTTAAGTTGTTAAAAGATTCCAACCCCCATGTATTTGGTACCAATGTGTCCCTATCACCATGGAACATATAGAGTGGAGTTTTTGATGGACCATTCTTCCTCAATACATCATAAACCAAAGAGTCTTTGTTCAAAAAGGATGACAAGGCAAAAACTCCTGCTAATCCAGGGATTGTTCGATATGCTGTGTGCAAAGCAAGTGCACCACCCATTGAAAACCCACCAACTATTATCTTATCAAGAGGTACCCCAGAGTTCACTTCTGCTTGTATCAATTTCTTTACCTCTTCTCCAATGGAATCCAAAGTTTGAGTATGTTCAGGTGCATCCGGTGTTATGTTCAATCTATCAAACCATACATTACTTTGCTACGGAATAATAATTATTTTATAAAATTTTATAATTTTAAATTAAACTTACAGCTCCATTTAAAGGTGTATATGGTCTCATTGGTGCTGATGGAAACAAGAACTTGATATGAGGTTGAGAAAAATCACCTATTAAAAACTTCATCCATTCGAGAACTCCAGGACCAGTATCACCTTCAAATAAACAAATCAAATTCAATTACTTGAGAATAACCATTGGTTCATTGGTGTATGTGAAATAACCAATAAGGATTGTTTGTTAATTGAATCATCATTGATGGACCAATGGAAATGTTTAGTTACCTGAACCATGGAAGAAAATAACTGAGGCAGTGTTAACTTTATTGGTCTGTTTGATTATTTTCATTGCAGATATTTTCCCTGCCATTGCTATTATTTGATATGGATGGTCGACTATTATTGTAAACTGAAATAAATCTAAAAGGTATGACGTGTTTTCAGAACTTATTGACTAAAGGACTAAAGCAAACTAAGGACTAAAAAGCGTGAAGCGGGTTAGGCAACTAAACTGACTCTAATTTCTTTCGGTTGAAAATGTCAAATAAAAGTCGTTCGATCAATAAAAAGAGGTCAAATAAAATGTTATCAATCTAATAATCATTGTTTATAAACATGGATTTTATGTAATATCAGCTAAAAGACAATAAGTTAAATTAATTCTCCTTTAAAAGTATTATTAAGAAAATATTTATAAACAGTACATTCATCAATTCAAATTGATAAATGTTGATTGGTAACTACCAAATAAGTGCTTTTTTTTAAATTTGTCAAATAATTATCAATTGGTATTGATGTTACCAATTTTATAGTTGGTAATATTGACACTAACCTTCAAAATTTAATAATTGCATTCACTTTGTTTTTATTATTTTTTCAGTCTGTTTTTAACCTTTGTCAGGGGTGAATCATCTATGATAAAGAAAAACATGTATTGAAGATACGAAAAACGTAAATATAACATCACCAGGAAAACGAGTGGTTTGGCATATGTACTAACTGCATCCATTTTATTTGGGTAAGCATTGATTGCAATTACATTCTTTGCACCTTTTGGATTATATTGGTAACATTGATAAAATATTTACCAATTCAAAATATACAGAAGATTCTATTGATTAGAAACTATTTGTAAATAATATTTAGATATATTTTGAAGTTAATCTCAATATTCAAATCCATAAATCATCCTACTGTTCAGTTAAGGTCATCTTATGTACAGTGTGTTATGTACAGTCTGTGCCATTATTATCATTTGTTATCATTTTCAAAATTTGCCTACAAAAATATTTTATGAACGAAATGTATAAATTCAAAAACTGTTCTCATTGTTTGTATAATTAATATCTGACTTGGCACTGGTATCACTTGTTGATAACAGTAGCAAGTTGCATGTGTAATGCAAGTGTATGTCTCTTCTATGATCCAAAGTACGAAATATGTATACATATTTTTCAGTATAACGAAAACAAAAAAATATTGCGTGATTCATTTGTTGTTCTTTTAGTTATTTGATAAATAAATAAATTGTTGCATATAAGTTTACAAATGGTAGTTGCGTTGCGGTGGTGAAAGAGCTACTTTCGAAACGCATTAAAATCATCGTGTTTCTTTCTTATTGGCCTCAATTATATAAGCTTCTTCCGCAGTGTAAGTAGTGTTTTCTTTAAACGAGTCATGTAAGTTAACAATTAGTGAGATTTCGTGAGAGTTCTAATTGACTTATTGTTCGATTGTTGTTCGTGCAAGTCTTATTATCTTCTGCTGCTTATATTTGGTAAACATATATTTCTCGACGCAAATTAACAATTATTTGCATTTTCATATTATCTCTATAAATATCTTTATGTAAGATTATATTTTATAAACAACAACTTATATTAATTCAGAATAAAGTAATTTTGTTATTTTATTTAAATGAATTGGAAATTCCGAAATATACTTGATTGTCTTTCCAATGTGTAAATTAAAAAAAAGAAGTTTCTTGTTTCTTGCGTTACCTAGACTGTGAGTCAAATTAATAAATTTTGTTATTACATAATATGCAGTTTGAATACATACTTTTAATGTTCAATTATTATATATTATATGAATGATACTTTACAATAAGTACATTCATGTATTCATTATAAATCTGATGTATACAAATAATCAGTAAAATTAATGACGATTAATTCTCAAAAAATATAAACTGTCTAAATTGAGTGCAACAATTTTTCAAAAACTTTGCACTTGCGTATTTTTTTATAATTATTATAATAAATTTTATAGATATGCAGTCACCATGGAAATAGTATTATTTTAGTTAACCATGCATGATATTTTAATCGATGTGAAAATAGATGTGATTGGATGTAAAAAAAAAATAGAATGAAAATAAAAAAATAACATGTAAACAATTACAGTTTTGCAAAAATGTATAATCTATGCTAGATAACATGTTAAATTAATAAAAATAATAGATCTTCTTCTATTAACTCTGGACACGCATTATCCCACCTTTTGAACATGCATTATTATAATTTTCTAGGAAATATCCAGGAAAGAGGAATTATCCTTTAATTTGGTTGGTATGTCAAAGGATGAATCTTGATAGGTCATATCATATGTTGATTCACTTGTTTAGAAATTTGTTGGATCTAGAAATTAAGGAAATTCTGGCCCCTCAAAGAGTTAACTCTACCCGACTGTAGAGAATTTCATGTCTGAAATTTAGTGGTCGATTGGCCAGTTAGGAAGAAATCATGTATTACAAAAAAAAAACTGTTTTTGGCATTATAAAAAAAGTTAATAATAAAGTGTCTGTTATTACGCAGTTTAAATATATCTATTGTCATTAATTTTTATCTATATATGCTAAACTATACCTGATAAGAAATAACATTGTACTGAAGGCAAGTAACCGAAGCAAACATTTTTACAATCTATATATTGAAGTTACTAGTTTCATATAATTTAGTGCACACAATAGCTTCAATAGATTAATGATATAACAAGCCAAATAGTTTACATTCTCGTAATTCATGGTATGACCTTCCTTCTGGTCAATACTCGGTTTATGAAATGTATCCATTCAAAAATAGTTAAATAAATTTGATTGTTTCCTCTCGTTATTCTTTTTTCTGAAATGATCAAGCTACGAAACTAGTATTATTATACATTGTAATTTATCATAACAATCAAAATGTTCCGGTAATTGTTTTATTTTTTTTTATTGAAGAATTTGTTTTTAAAAGTGTAGATGCAAAATATCGGTACAAATCTGATTAAAGTATTATTGTCTACACGTTGCGATTATTTTAAAACAAGTATTTGTATTTCTTAGATAAGGTCCTCTTATAAATGATAATATTATATTGTTACATTTTACTTGAATACAGCAAAGAGTCATGACGATATGTACACCAGTTTGCATGAAAGTCACGGCTTTCGTCGTGGCAGTTATTTTCCTGATACTCGGATCTTTGACTGTTGCCTACTGGGATGGAATGTACACAAATATATTACACGATGTAAGTATATGTTCATATACATCAATTAGTTTGTAATTTATTAATGGAAATTTCAGGAATTGAGTTTGTCCAATACTTCTAAAGGTTATAATATGTGGAAAGAGACGCCGATCCCCATGTACTTAAAAATATACCTCTACAATTGGACTAACGCTGAAGAAGCAACCAAGGATTGGAAATTAAAACCAGAGTTCGAGCAGTGCGGACCATACGTGTTTTTGGAACATCACAAGCGTGTTAATATGACATGGAATCCTAACGACACAATAACTTTCATGCAGGAAAGAAGGTGGTATTTTCAAGAGGATCTGTCCAATGGTACTTTGGATGATAAAATAACGAATTTGAATGTTATTGCGACGGTGAGTTAGCAATTATTTTTACAATTGGACAAAGAAAAAAATAATTCATTTTTAGACAGCTGCTTATACTGCGAGGAATTTCCCGGCGCTCATAAAAGAAGGCTTAAACTTCTTATTGGGGCAAACTGAGAAAGTAGTAATAACGAGGACATCCGGACAATGGATGTTTGACGGTTTCGATGATAAGCTGATCGACCTTTTGAAGAATTTCAGTATACCGATCCATATGCCTTTTGATAAATTTGGCTGGTTTTATCTGGTTCGTTAATAACATTGATAGTTTTTGAGGTAACATTACATTAAAATTATTTACAGAGAAATAATTCGGCTACATATGATGGGAGTTTTACTATGTACACCGGCAGGGATGACATCGAATTGTTAGGAATTATTGAGGAATGGAATGGGAAACCTAAGAGTCCCGCATACCCAAGTTATTGCGGCTTCGTTAATGGAACGAGCGGCGAACTTTGGCCACCAGTTAAGAAGTATAATAAAGTGTCTGTTTTTAGTCCTGACATCTGCAGGTAAATATCATTACAAGACTGAAAGTAATTGATCCGGTTTTCATATTATTGAAAAAAATATACAAGGCCATCACAAATGTAAATGTACATTTTAAAACATGTTAAAAGACCAATAGCGATATTATTGAAAATTTAATTAGTAGAATGTAATGTTTTTTTTCTTTTTACAGTTCTATTACGTTATTTCAATCAGATGATATACCATCAGTAGCTGGAATAGAAGGAAAGTCTTATGTTGGTACCGATTACATTTTCGATAATGGTACCAAATACCCGGAGCAAGCATGTTTCAACGGCGTACAAGTCTTTCCCAGCGGAATTCGAGATGTATCCAAGTGCAAGTTTGGAGCACCAGCCTTTGTTTCTTACCCACATTTCAAACATGCAGACCCTTGGTACTTAAGTAAAATCAATGGGTTGGATCCAAACGGTTCCGACTATTCTTTTAAAATGTCGCTTGAACCGAACACTGGAGTACCTCTGGAAGTTGATGCTCAATTCCAAATCAATATTTTAGTCGATAAGATAACTCATATAGAGTAAGTCTAAATTTAATTTCCCAACAGTATGAAAAAATTATACTTCACTATGTTTACTTTACAGTATGTTTAAAAAGGCACCCAAGATGATGATTCCAATGCTATGGTTCAAACAGACGGCAACTCTAACCGATGAATATGCTAGTCAAATCAAGTTTCTCTTATTACTTCCACAAATTGGAAACTACACTGCTTATGGAATGATAGGCATTGGATGTTTTATTGCAATTATTGCGATCATAGTAACAATTAAGAATGCTTGGAAGGGAAGCAATGGGGAAGAATCTCAGTTGCTTCCCGAAGATAAACTGTAACATCATTAAACATAACCAATCATACAGGCTGTGGTATTAGTCCTTAAGAAAAAAAATCCTAAAATAACATTCTTTATTTCTATATATTGTTTATATAATAATGCTTTAGTACTTAGAACACACTCAAGTTATAACGAATGATTATTATCTTTATATAATTATTAAAATTCTTACATAAAACCAAATGATTTGTTCTTACAATATGATAATTATAACCACGTTTCACGTCCGCCTAAGGTTATATCTAACTATATCAAATTCAACTCCGTTTCCGTCTGCTGTCAATACTGGTAGGAACCAATAGCAGCAATTCCATCCACATTGCTCCTCGAAGTTTTCTACACATCCCTTGTCGTATGTAGTTCTAGATACACCGGGCACAGGCTCGAAATGAGGGTCATGTATTGACTCTACCGTTGTTTCGTTATTGAAGATCATCCTCAAGTGGTATATGAACAATGCAAGCAGCGCAACGGCAAGCGCTAGAGTCGCAAAGAAGCTGAATGGAAGAATTAAAGAGGAAGTTGTTTACCCGGAGATAAATACCTACGCCAAAACGATGTTAAGCTGTCTCAATTTGCTTGTTTCAAAGTTTAAGCAAAAATGCAAGCAGTACTCAAACGTGGTGGACGCGTAGAAGAAGCAGAATATCATCGCGTACATCACTAATATTATGAAATACTTGTAATTCGTGAAGCCCACACAGTTATTAATCCACGGACAATGATGGTCCATCTTAATTACACACGCATCGCACGTGGAACAATGATGCGTCCTGTCCGGTTTCAGAAGTTTGCATTCCGTACAATACCTAACAACAATATCTAATGCTTATTAAGTGATAGTTCATCGACAATAGTTACCTAAAGCTGCCGTTTTTAGATCTGGTATAAATTAGAAAATTGTTGTCTTGAACGAAATTGTACAGTATGTTATATTCTTCCGTGGTGCTTCGGGCTGACATCAAGCGGTTGTAAAAGCTTGAGGTGAACTGGTATTCTTCCGGTACTAGCCACTGCCTGTGAAACATGGCTATAAAGTACATAATCAAAAATGGGATGAAGAGTAGATGGAATAACGTCAAGTAGATTGCACATTTCGTTGTGCTTTCGATAAGCCGCACGCACATTTCGTAGACGTATACATAGTATGTCCAGATAATTGTTAAAATCAGCAACACCACGGGGAATACATTCAAAGTTTCTTGACAACAGTCGTTCTCGCAATCATAGTCGCAGCTGCACATTTCAATTTGGAGATTTTGTCCATGTGACACTTGAACGCACCACTTTCTATACTGGTCATTATGACATTTTCCTTTGTTTTTTTTAGAAATATCGCTTACATTAATTACAAAATAAGTAATAATTATTGGAATAGTCGATGTTTATTCAAAATACGTTTTATTCTTAATCGATTAGTAAAAGTTGAAAGTAGACAAAATACTAATGTCGGTACTATGTTATTTAATCTACAAATAATGTATTATGTCCTTATTTAACCCAAAATTTCTGCATCTAAAAGCTTGTACAACAAACTATATTGGCTTGTAAGATAAATTTGGAACATTCGTTAGTTAACAAACTACAAACTGTTATCATTTCTAATTTACAAAGTAACTTCAATATTGAAATACTTCAAGAGCTCCCATAACTATGAGCAACTATTTGAAAATGAAAACAATATTGAAAGTTCTTGAAAAAAAGCATTTGCATGTAATTTTACTTGAAGAACATCTGAAAAAAAATTATACAATCTAAACGCATGTCAATATGTCGGTGAATTATATTATAATACAATACACTAAATTATTCCACTAAATTGCTTAGGCAATAGATTGTAAGAAAAGAGACAATCACTAAAAATAGAAAAATTTTAAATTATAAATTTGATTTTCATTTTATTCTATATAATAAAATTAGACTACAATAGATCATGATGGAAATATTTCTTTGAATTTTCCACTGTTATCTGTTAGCATGCAAAATTACGTTTCCTATATATATATTTATTAATTATTCAGTTGTTTCTATCATAGGTAATGTTGTGGTTCGTTGCTTTAGGTAATCGTGTCCGAAATAGGAAGTCATTAACAATGTTATTTGAGAAATTCGCTTTCCAATCAATGTTACCACCTGAGGAAACTGCAAAAAAATGCAAAAAAGATTAAATCGATGTTGATCATTGGATGTTATAAAAACATCCGACGAACTCTGCAAATACAAACAACTTTGTAAGTGCGTCAGATAGTATTGTTACGTGTTAAATCGCGTGGAACAATGTACAATTATATTGCTGCAGTATTTTCTTTATCATGATTGTCGCAGTCGCCGAAATCAAATTGCCTGCGATCGGGGTTGATTTTGCGCCATGTAACGGCCACCTGGCGGCGTTTGCTCGAAGCAGTTCCTTCTACATATGGCGAACGTATTGAGTTGCAACAGTTCAGTTGTTAAAAGTGCAACACAGCCTTAAAGCGATACAAACATCAAGAACCCAAATATACTGGCCCGCGTTGCCTTTTTGATGTTCTTCTATTTTAATTTTCGCTTTAGTTCATTCGAAGCAGCTTGATTTTCGTCCGTCCATTTGTGTCCATTGACGAGGTGCTGCGTGTCGTCGCCACCTCCACAACCAATTTTCTGGTACAGATTGTCAAGACGAAAGGAATTTTGTGGTAAGTGACCGAAGCCTGAAGATCAGAGCAAAATAAAAGAGAACACATGCAAACAACGTATAAAATGTTAAGTAGCAAAACCAATTAACTGTATTGCATTCAATTATTTTACTAATCACATGGGATGTTCTATAAATAGAGCATGCATCTCGATATCATCATAATTTGTGTTTTTGGAATGGCCACTTTCGACTTTTAATGCACAGAAACTTTCCGATAGTTTTCAGTGAAAGTGAAACGCATTTAAGTTATAACCTGCAATTCATTCACTATATGCCAGATGGAAAGTTTAATAGTCATGTGCATCGATCGGTCCGAAACCATTTACTACTGCACGTACATAAGCCTTCTTCACCCTTCATAAAAAGCCTATTTTAATTTGATACATCTCATGTAAATATTTAAATAATCGTACTAGGATGAAGTTAGTAACAGCTGAACGTTTTCGCTACCAACACTTTCTAATAACATAAAAACATCCACTCGAATTATTAATTAATTGCAACGTTAATCTTGCTCTGTTACAGATCCAGCAGACCTATCCAATCCTTCAGAGGGAGTTTTATATATTTTTGTATATATATCAAACTAACCGCAATTTTTAACCCTTCATTATATATTTACCACCCCCATCTAAGGACTGTTCTTTTGTTTTACTTTTCTGGTGAATAGTAAACCGTCCAATAGGGCGCAAACATCTTATATGACTTTAGCAACACACAAAGGTAAGATTTCGTAGCGTGACAGAGTTGTTCTATGGTAAACATATGGATGAATTAATATCGCCATTATGTATGCAAATATATGGAAGGAAAAAAATATCCATATTCTTACTAATATTTATTTATACGAATTTTAACGACGAGCAATAGGAAAAGTTATATAACCGTGTATTATTTGCTTTTCTTTTTATCTTATGAACAAATAAGAACAGTGGCAAAGTTATGTTTTCCATCGTACACATATAATTATAATATGAACATAATCTTTACTCGAGATGGAATATTTTCGCCCAATAAATGATAAAATATGTAACATAGATAAAAACAATGCGATTACGATTAATTAACCAAACAAACAACCGTTTTGACCTTTAATCGTTGCCTGTTTATTATTGAAATTAACACAATCCGATTATTTTCTCTCAAAGATGTTAAGTTTTATTCACTCTGCTATTGTCATTAGAAAAAGACGATACATAAAAAGTACTACAAATCTTAATTCAAACATTTAAAATGAAATTATCTTTTAAATACTCGGTATATTTCGCATTCCGTGCATTTTTCTTACGTGCGCGGATTACGAGAGCCGCCGTTTCTTTTCTTACTTTTTTTTTCGCACACATCCGAACAGGTTTCTTGTGATATTCTCAGGAGAACCTACGTTTGCAGGGAAACCTCTCTCAAAAAGATATCCAATCATTATATAACTCCATCACGAACTGATCCGTAAATGTAAATTGCACGAGTTCATGCTGACTTTAGCATATGCATTTCAACTGCGTTTTCAATAACGAACATACATATTTCGTTCGTTCAATCTTGATCTTATTAAAAATAATGTGGTTCGTTAAATAATTGCTGAATTATAAACATATTTTTTTTCTTTTCGTTTGAACAGCTTTTAACATGATTTGTTATGTATTCGATAATTCTGGAACACGCTTACGGAGAATATCCGTAACGTCATTTATATAATTAGATTTTATTTCAATATCGTATTATACAGTTGTTTAGGTTATCGTCTTACCAAGTATTTACAACGTGGTGTTTCTGAAATTTGCTTGCTCAAACATAGTATAAAACACGTATATTTACTTTTAAACACAGAATGTTAATGCTTTAACACAATTTGATGCAGTGATCATCAATCAACGAAGAAAGTTGTTTCGCTATGACGTCTCTAATACATTCCAATCTGCGTCAGATACTTTTAGAATCGACTGGCTAATATATATAATGAGAATACTGTGGATAATCTACTTTAGACGTACGTAATTAGAACGAAACGTGAAGTGCCTTTTTGTTATCTAAATCTTCTTTAAGATATTGGTGATAGTATTAGTTGTTAATAAGTTAGATATTACTCCTTTGTAAATTGTCTATGTTTGTCAAGTATTGTCATTATCATTTATGCAAAAAGCATACAATATGCATCAATGAAAATATATAATTCACACTTTTTATCATATAGAATTAGAAAGGGTTATAATTTGTTTTAGAAATAAATCTTATAATTGTGGATATGTTCTGGTCCCGTGCAGCTATAATTTATAATATTCAATAGCAGTTCTCGTAGATGTGAAAACCACTTATGTAAGATATATATTCAATTAATATAATGATTGGATGCAAATAGAAAGTTAACAACAACAAAAAATAGCTATCCGTCTTTTCTATAGTAATTTTTGTTTAGCAATTTCTTGTTTAAATTCTACGTTGTTCGTAATCAATGATAAAGTTATATCTAAGTATGCATGCACTAAAATGTAAAAGTTATTTGTATCTGCATTAAAATAGTTATAAATTGAAGGCTAATTTTTCAACGTCGACAGTGCAGTGCTTGCAGTAAAACTTTTCTTCGGTTCTCCTGCTCTGTAAACAGGAAGTGGTTCGAGCCACACAACAATCAAACAAATTATCTAGTCTTTTATTATTGACACGATTTCGCTATCTCTTACTTTTAGTCATAATAATGTTGCAAAAGTAATGACTTATTTTTAATGTTACCACATATTGGTTATATACATAAAATACTGTATTAGTCACCCATTCAAATACAATCCCAGACACGTATTGTTTAACTTTCGTATGCTGTTTAGAATTATGAACTTGGACGCGACTCTCATTTCAAATCCAATAATTAAATAGATTAGAGAATTGGATGTTCCTTAATAAATGTTTGTCAGGGTTATGACAAATAATCAGAGAAGGGCGTATATACTTATTGGCACAAGCAAAGGGTTGAACTGCGGATGTATACAAGTAAAATCCTTTATGATGTAGGGAGTATTCGTTTTCCGGTAGACTTTTATTGTTCTGTTCGTCATGATGAAATAGTATCTGCAGTATTTCAAATGTCAATGCAGTAAAAGTATATACATACAGCTTTGTATAAGTTTTGAATAAATGTTTATTATCTCATTTAAAGTTATCGGTAGCGAAGTTTGTCCCCTGATCTGTACTAAATCAATAATACAATGATTATTTATTTATTTTTTTATATTTTGGCATCGATTTTGCGTTTGTTTGTTGACCATTGTTATATGGTAGCTAATGCATACATATGATTGATTTATGAGGCTGGGAAGGAAGGAGAGAAAAATAAGTTTGCTTATAAAATGTTTATTTGCGTTCGCTGTACGTTCGTAGTTTTATAGCTTATTTTGGTATCGGATTGTGCGTGGTCGGTGTCGCAGAATTTTCGTACGTGATCGATACTGGAGCAGCTGACGCGTCTGTGCGGGTGCGGTGGAGGCGGTTTATCCAAGAGGTGGCAGCGGCGGCGGCGTCGTCGGTGGTTGCTGACTGAATATACTGTCTACGTGTCAGTCAGTGCGGTGAAAAGAACGGTGCTATCCCAACCATCGTCGCACCGGTCGGCGTTAACGACTTCACCAGCTGCTCGCTGAAGAGGCGATTGGCCGCTGCTTCCATGGTGCGAACCTCGCGTCATGGTAAGCTTCGATATCCTTCCTAGTCAGCATTCACCCGAATAGCGCTGCTAAATCGTGCCCGAATTGCTAATTCACTGCAGATTGCAGGATATGTCCGACCACGGTTTTTGAGGAAATACAGTTCTTTAAATCGATGTTGCCTCCCAACCTTCCCGTAGGTAGTTTTTTTGCAGTTTAAAGAATAAAACGGAATACAATTGTATTAAGCTCCGTCTAAATAAATATCAATTCATTTACTTAATAAGATTTTTTTTATCTTAATAGAGTACGACCATATTTCAAAAGTAATAATTTGCAATATTAATTAATTAGTCAAAGTATATGCAAACAAAAATGGAGTTGGCTTACGATCTGTCATTTAGTCATGACAGTTGTTATACATTTTAATTATTATTATTTTATTTTGAAAATTCTTCCTAAAGTATGTTTGGGACCTTGGATGTTGCTACCATTACGGGCCAAATGAGTCGGGAAAAATCGGATGGTCGTCAAAAAGTATGAATGCATTTAGTTCACATGAAATCGTCGGAGATAATAATTATACATCAAATAATATGTTGAAACGGGAATAAGCTGTATATATCAGAGGAGTACACAGGAAAGAGGATATAATCATAAATACAAATCAAGCATAAAATTATCGTGCGTGGACTATGGTAATTAAATCATTCATTATAATTTCTATAATATTTTAAAATATATATTCATTAGTAGATCAGAAATATACGAAGGTTATTGTTGATTTTTGTGTGTATACCCTAATATTGCTGATCCAAGTTGGCGTTCTCGAATGTTTACTTGTTTGCTTCTGTCAATCTGATGCTGCTTTTATTTGTGAATAATAAATGTTTCACAGTGTTTGTCAGCAGTATTACGTGAAGGAAGAAAGCAAAATGTATTTGCTGTATACGCGTTTCGTCGAAGGAAGCGTCATTTAATGCAATATTTTTATTTTGTTTTCAGAGACATTATTGAACAAAGGCATAGTTGGGAGTACAGGTACTGGGCAGGCGGGGTGCATGACTTCGCAGCGACAGCCCACCACCTGTTATAGGTAAGAGGCTTTTTAATTGAATCAATTAGTGAGTATACAGGAGAACTAATAATCGAATTTGCTCGCAGGAAAACAAAATTTTCATCCAATAGACATCGGAAGCTGCAGCCTTTTAGAGAAACGTGACTGGCAGTTACGGAATCAAAAATACCGTCAGACGTAGGAAACGAGCATCCTATCATCATTAAAGAGGAGCCGAGCGTCATAACAACAACTTTCATAATCAACACCAAAAAAGGCAAACGGAATAGCGGTGCAATTACTTCTAGCAGGGTGCGGAGAGCAGGAGCTGAACATTTTATTTTGTTAATTGGATCAACAGAACAGCGCCAAAATGGGCAGCGTCAACGTAAACAGGAACGTGAGCGATGTGTTCTATCGCTACAAAATGCCAAGAATCCAGGCGAAGGTGGAGGGCAAAGGCAATGGCATCAAAACTGTAATTGTCAATATGGCCGAGGTGGCTAAAGCTTTGAGCAGGCCTCCCACATATCCCACTAAATACTTTGGGTGCGAGTTGGGAGCCCAAACGCAATTTGACTTCAAGAACGAGCGATTCATTGTGAACGGTTCACACGATGCCAGCAAATTGCAAGATTTGCTCGACGGATTTATCAGAAAGTACGTAACGCGATACGCCACATACAACTGAGCAGATTATTTAATCGGTTATGTTTTTCTATTTGCAGATTTGTTTTGTGCCCAGAATGCGATAATCCGGAAACGGATTTGAACGTCTCTCCAAAACGAGGCACAATCTCACAAAGTTGCAAAGCTTGCGGTTATCACGGCATGATTGAATCAAACCATAAATTAATTACATACATCTTAAAGAATCCGCCGAATTTGAATCCCGCTACTCAAGGATCGTCCTTAACTGAAGGCAAGCGTTCCAAGCGCAGCAAGAAAGCCAATGGTGATGCAACCAATGGAGAAGGTGATGAGAATGAAGCAGATGTCACGGGTGATACTTCCATGGCTGACAATGCTGATGAAGATAATACAGAGTGGGCAGTCGATGTTTCCGAAGAAGCAGTAAGGGCGCGTATGCAAGACTTGACAGATGGAGCAAAGAATATGACCATCAATGATGATTTAGAAAAAACTGAGAAAGAAAGAATGGATATACTTTATGGTATGATGAAAGCAAAGCGCGATTCAGGTGAATTGGAGGTAGTACAAGTCCAAAAGGATTTGTTGGGCGAGGCCGAGCGCTTGGAGATTAGAGCTAAAGCACCGCTATTATTAGCCGAGCTTCTTTTCGATCAAAATGCCCTGGCTCAAGCTAAAAAATACAGGATGTTTTTGTTGAGATTCACCTTGAATGATAAGAAAGCTCAGAAGTACTTCATCGGTGGTTTGGAACAAGTCATTGAACTCCATAAGTCAGTATTGATGTCAAAAGTGTCGGTCTTGCTGAAACTTCTCTATGATTTAGATATACTTGCTGAAGCAGCTATCATAGATTGGGCTGAGAAGGTTAGTGGAACATTACGAAAATAATATAAAAATATAATTTATTTCAAAATGTTGTAATGTTCTAGGTCTCTAAAAAGTATGTATCCAAAGAGGTGTCTCAGGAGATCCATAACAAGGCTGCTCCATTTGTGAAATGGCTGAAGGAAGCAGAAGAGGAGGAATCCGATAGTACTGAGGGAGACGAAGAAAGTGACGTTGAAATTGAGTATAACGACCGTGCACAAGTCGCTCCACTTAAACCAGTCGTTGCACCCAAGAAACCCCAGGCTGAAGACGATGAAGGGGAGGATTTCGATATTGATGCCATTTAAATTGAAAAAAGTTAAATCCTTTTCCGTTCCGAAGCATTAAATTAACAGGGTGTCTATATTATATACTATTTTACTATAAGGGCAGTTCTAGTAGTTCCTTCATAATATTATGTCTATTCATGCAATGTCAAATTTCTATTACCTTATGAACTACTCGATTCATCTTTTCCAATTGCTTTCAATATTTTTTTTTATATTTTAAAAAATGAAAACTGTAGCCACACACATACACAACACACACATGATACATAAGCAAGCGTATAGAATATTATATATTTTAAAGGTAATAATTTGGTCGCTCTGTGAGCCCAAGTTCGGCTTTATAATTATATTTTATTTAATAGGTGTACCTAGATAATAATCCCTTGTTACTACACGAAAAGGTTAAGATATAAAATGTTTAACATTTTCAATGAAACCACACACAACATTTAAGAAAATGAAACCAAAAAAAAAATATATTTGATGTATAATTATTATTCTTTCGGTTTCTGTTTACTAATTGTATAAAATAAAGGCATTTTTGAAAAGGGTTAAAGAAACTTGTTTATTCAATCACGAATCTAAATAATTTAATAATTAAGTTTGTTCAGTGAGCTGGAATTAATTATATATCAGTAAGGATTGAAAGCATCGAAAGATAAGTACTACCTGATTTAAGTAATCCATACAAAACCTGTCGTAAATTTCTAACTTCGATGCTGGAAAAAAGACCAACATTGGTTTCCAATTACACAACGTTAGAGTTACAATTGTGGTAATGGTGGTGGCTCTAAAGCTGTAATTATGAGGAAAGAATTCAAATAATCCTTGCATCTGCAGTGAATAATAATAATAATAAAATGAAACTCTATTAGCTTAATTTACTTACCAAACCGAAGCAATCTAATGACCAGAGTTCATCAACTTTAGTTTCTTCAAACTTATTGGACTCGAACACATCGACGTTTCCTTGTTGGATGAAATACATCCTTTGGTTAATTTCGTTTTGCTTGCAGATTGTATCTCCACTGAAGAATACACGTACTTCTAGTACGCCGGCAACTTGTCGCAGGAAATCCGGATGGCAATTTAAGAAAATCTGTTTAAAGGAATGCATGCATATTATTCGATGTATTTTATTTATTTAGTTTGATGTAATCACTGGATTATTAAAAATGTGATGTCCGTAAATTGATACTTTAAGCGACATTTTCAGATGCATTGGCATACGTTCGAGGAACAAGGGTATGTGTCTTCCTTTGCTATACAACCATAGATTGTTGAAATATCTAATCACATTATGTATAAGCCTGGGAGATACCATTGAATACGATAGAAAATACTAGAACGGAATTTGGTTTAAGTAGACGCTATGATACTATCAATCTTTGCCTTTACATGCAACTCGTTTCGATTGTATTCAAATTTCAACATTGCAAATGACAGCTGTTTAACGACTATGTAAATTTGTCCAATGAAATAGTACAGCAAAATCCTATCAATTACAGCCATGATGGCAATAATGGATCTTTCGTACGCTTGAGTTGGCCTGAATCTTCCGTAACAAGTGTGACTGACCAACGATGCAATAAAATGCAAGCTGCATATGTAGGCATTGTTGCAATTGTACCCTTAAATAATTCAATAAGTTTTATTTAATTTAAGTGCTTTCATTTTCCTATAATTTACGTTTAATTTTCTTGCCATTCGCAATAGTGGTTTTTCCGAACCACGTCTCAAAGTCACAATTTCTATATGGACAGGAAATAGCATACAGCAAACACGCATTGCAATGTATGAACAAATAGAGTCCGGCGACTATTCCCAATAGATTCATGAGAATCATATTGATAGCCATGTACTTTTGCAGGAAATTAAATATTCTAAACTAGAAAATAAGAGAATAGGTATTAAATTGCAAAGAGGTTACCAGCTTACTAATTTTAATATTCTATTTAATCGTAGGAAACCAACGTATTTCCACATAATTTTTGGTTGCACGAAATAGAATAATTCAAATGGTAGTATGCATGCCACATGTAAAGGTAAGCGATATTTTAGGTACCTTAAAATGAACGAATTGAAATACAACTTTACTAAATATTGCTACGTTTACCAAAGTAGGGCCTGTTTATTTACATAAATCTTTCCATATGAAACCCATTTCTTGATGGAGAGGTCATTGACGATTTGCAGCAAATAAGTTAAGTCTATTATATAGAATATGAACAGGTAAACGTATGAAGTGGATTTCACTTCGAATCCTATAATATAGAACGTCCATAGGATCGAAACATAATTGCAGAGCATGAAGCACCATTCCACTATAGGTGACGTCATCGTTCGTTTGTAACTCCTAAAATTGAAATGATTAAAATGATTGCACCAAAAATAAATGGTTTATAATAACCAAGGAACGATGACGGGAATGTCTGTATTTATTGCAGCAGCATTGAAATGCACCGGAGTGTCGCTTTTTACATACGTCTAAAAAAATTTCTTATTACATTCATATAGTTAAGAACATAGTGATGTTAATCATACCAGACAATTGAGTAAGATGTGACGTATTAATCGCGTGCGAATGGTAGGAGCATCTTTCAGCAATTCATACATTTTTCTACTGTTTATGTACAGGAGGTCTACTGGTTTTACTACGATAACTTTGACCATGCTTCTTATATGTACGACGTTGTCTAAATTACCGAACATGCTGCCAATGCCTAATACTTCGACGCATTTTTTATCCACGTTAAGTATTTGCACTTCACCTGCTCGAATTATGTATGCCTTGTCGATTATATCATTGAAATTGATTATTATAGCTCTATCCACGAAGTAATCTTCCAGCAAATGTATACCAATTGCAATGCCAGCTATGAAGGATAAATCTTCGAAAATTGGAACCTTCTCCAGAACGGGCTCATAGTATCTCACAATCCAGTCTTCTTTAAGTGCGTCGTGACACAGCTTGACGGGTTTAATACCATCGAATCCTATGGTCCGTTTCCAAACGTAATCAAAGTACGTCAATATTTGCCTAAAAAAATAGTTACAAGTAAATCATACTAAATTTTAAATTAATTATCCAACTGAACTTTTGAAGTCTACGATTTACGTTTTCCCTTTGCATAAAATGCTTCAGTTCCATGGTATGTGTTTGGTACTCCATTAGTGTATGATTGAGTGTGGCTTGTATACGAGCCATTTGACCTAATACGTAACTGAAAAATAAATATCCTCCGACGAGGCACAGACATGTTATGAATATCTCCCAATTCGAAAATGTGTTATAATCAATCCACGAATTGAAAGGCGAATTAAGCATATTATGGATAACCCAGAATAAGCAGTTTATGTGAATCACCAAAGTCGGGTTGCCGACGACATTCTGGACGCTACCTAAATTTGAATATTTCATGCAATGTCTTTAATCGTGCAATAGTTTGAACTTTACGTTGTCCCCGAAGCCAAGTGTTATTTCTTACGCTGATTTTATATCCATTGCTGATATCGAAGTCACAAGTTCCCAAAACCATTAAAACGGACATGATGTGAATAAGGACTAACAATATAGGTGCTAAATTTGAAAAAGTCCTTAAACATTATTTAAGATTAAAATATTTATTGCTGTTTAGAACGTATTTTAATTAATATACCGTATTAATGACAACCTTACTGTAAGCGAGTTCTCTCTAGTTTTGTAATATCTGTACAGCTTAATTAGTTTATTAAAGGTACATATAACTTGCAGCTTGTAATTTTCAATATACAAAGCGTTTTCGTGTTCGAACTCCAATATCTTCTCTATTGGGCAAATGCTCAAAACATCAAGGAAGAAATTGGTTTTCAAGTAATTTAGTGCTGTGCTCTTTGGATGCGACACTAATATCCCATTTTTATTATAATAACAAATATGTAGACGAATATACCTACGGGAAAAATCCCAAAGCAAATTTTCATTTTGTCAGTGAAATTTACAACTTACATATCAAATAATCCCCAAATATCAAATAAAGAGCTTATGAAGAACATGGGTTCCCAATAAGTTCGGTAAAAGTGCATCAGAGGTATATAAAAGACTGTGACAAATATGTATATAGTATCGATGATTGTATATACAGCTATAACTTTTCCATCCGGTAGAATGGTGCTTCTCATTAAGAAATACCTCAAATTTGAAAACAATTACATTAAAAAGCAGCAATTAAAGCAATAAAAACCTGCAGAAGAACTTAGTCGAACGATCCTTCAAATTATCTTCATAATCCATATAAAGTTTCATCCTCTTATTTTTTGGGAAAATGAACCACGATTTTGTTTCCGCATTTATTGTTAAATCGTAATCCAGAAGTGATGGGTTTCGTCTGAACAATCTCTGTACTGTCTACAAAAATAAAATAAAAGTTTATAATGCAGATAATGGACGACTTGAAACTAATTAACTAAAGATCTTTCCATTTCCACTACAATGCTATCGATTTGTTCAAGCAATCCAGAATACCAGTAAAATACGTCTCTCAAGATATGAAACTTTCCTAATTTAATTACAGACACGTGCGTACATGCTTTATAAGTGTAATAAGATGGTTTATCTACGATGCAATAATTAAGATTTGGTAATATTACATTAGAACATGTTGACTAACAGAGAAGCATTTCCATTAGACAAAAACTGTCCATCGGTCCTAAATATTTGATCATGCGATTCGACGTTGAACAGATCATCTAAAATTATTCAAACTTACAGAACTCACGTTCTTTTTTTAACATATTACCTCGCAATAGCCTTTTTCTATAATGAATAAATCTTTGATAATTTGTCCTTCGTAAACTATCAATTCGTCTGGTGGAAGGAAATGAGTTTCGCAACAAAGAGCAAGGGCTTTCAAAATTTCCGGTTTTAAACCTTTAAATAATGGTACGTTTTCTAAAACAAAAACAAATCTGCAACGACAAAAATGATTCATATTTTCAGTTTGACCAATCAAGTCGATTTTACCTATTTATTTTGATTTTATCGTACAAAATCTTTGATAATCCACCGAAGAGCGTTTTTTCATTTACCCCGTTGAAATACTGCCACTGGAGAGTTAGAAATTCGTTGAACCTTATATTCGTCACCAAATTCATCTTGCCGTAGTTCATGTATAGTTGCATTCCTTCCATCATTGTGGCATATTCTTCACTGAAATTGATTCTTTTTTCTAGATATAATCTTACAAATTAAACAACATTAATGATTACGCCTTTTGATCGATCAGGGCAACAGCGGCAATCATTTTCGTATTGACGTAGATGAACAACGACATCGCCAAAATCGTCATGAAGATGGTCAAATATATTTCCTCTACGCTGAATATCAAGAATAAATTTGATCGAGTAAGCAAACTTAACGTGTAAAAGCCAATATGCCCAAATGTATTCCAATGTTTTCCAAGAAACCATTGAGAATTACATTCATATCTTAAAAAAGATGAAAAATTGTGAAAAGAAGGTCTTACACGAACGTAATTAATTACAGAAATCTGCAGAAAGTTTTATGGTAAATACAAGCTGTGATGGCACTGGCAAAATAGATGACAATTACGAATTTGGAAAATATGATCATTTTCTTATCGACGTACAGCAACTTTTCCAAGTTGGTGAGAAATAGTAGTATCTACAAATTATAAAGTAGAATTGTAATTTTGGGATCATAATTCTGACCTTAAAGAACTTGACGAGGGCATTGTATTGCATTACTGCCATTAACTCCCAATCGATGTACGTAATTTGATCTATTATTCCTTTTATAGTGACGATCGGTATTGCCGCAAGCAAATCTAGCAGGAAAATCCAAGAGCGGAGTCGTTTGATAAAGATATTTTTGATTGATGTTTCCAATTCTGAAATAAATTTGTTTATTATATGATTTATTAAACCAATATTTTAAATTAAAATAAAAACCTTCTTCGTAGACCACAGGAATCGATATGTAAATTAGTACATCCATAATGTAGACTAGGCTAGCAAACACTTGGAACATGTAGAGCGCGAATGGATATTCGTCTCTGGGAATGAATGTAAGGTAATATGGGTACAGGCTGATTACGAAAATGATGGTGACGCAGACAAAGGTATCCCAATATCTAATCACATCAGAATGGGGCTGAAAAAGCCAAGGCCAAGTGGATCTTACGAACACTTTGTCAGTTGTACTCAATTCAGCTACCTAAAATTTTGCTAAAATTAAAGTTAACAAAATATTAATTTTGTTTTAATTTTCACTTTGCTCATTGTGTATGGTTGGTTTATATAAGGATCTCCCATATTAGCCCATATGTCTACTTCTTCTGGAATCCTACTCTTGACATCTTCAAGCTCAATTGGAACGCTGAAAAATAAGTGATTGCTTAAATTAAAATAAACCTTACATTCAAATACACACATATTCGCTTCACGATGCATTTTAATTTTAGCTATTTTCATCTAGAAATGATGGAAATTAGTTACAATAGTTAATTGAGTAATGTTGATTTACCTTGGCTTTTAGTAATATATGGGCCGTGTACCTATTATTATGATACCTCAAAACATTAATTTGCCAAAGATGTATCCTTCGAAGAACATGAATCACACAGTAAGTGGAGGCACGAATCTTAAGAAAATTAAATTATAAATATAAGGAGTGTCTCATTTCTTTTGTTCACCTCGTGCGTAGCCACTCGATTGTATAATAAATTGATGCTGCCTATGGACGTGCCCATTCCCAAACATAATATCTTCGTTTTGGTATCTTCATTTGATAAAATTTCCACGGAACCTCTTGCAACAAATATCATCATATTCATGTTATGGCCTAACGCGAATACTGTCTCCCCTGCGCTGTACGTAATTGTTTGCATCTTGCTGGCAACTTCCCTTTTTAAATCATCTGGAGCATCGACAAATAGGAATGACTAGAAAATGCGAATTTTATTAGAAATAGTAATTAAAGTAAATGCGAATGACGTACCTTATTCAGAGCGAACCAATATTTATCCAAATACACCTGATTTTTTACACCAAATGGCAGTTCCGAGAAGACCGAAGGTTCGATGTAGCCAACTCTTTTACGCAAATATTTCATGAAATACAATTTAATATCCACTTCCAGTCCTTTTGGAATATTACTTTGATCCTACCAGAAAGCAAAAAATTAAATCATAACGTATACCACTCTATCACTCACTTTATCACCATGTATTTAATAATTAATTTGTAGTTGTGTACGAAACTATGATATGATTTATATTTATGTATTATATAATTAACCATGCGTCCCAAGAAACTTCCCTCAATCAAGAAAGTCCCAGTTAGCATTATTACAATTATAACCATTTGTTCCGTATCGTTTCTTGACGAAGGGCCACCATATCTGTAAATTGAAAACAAATATATATTTTTTTGTAAATAAATCCAATGCAACAACAAACCCAGTGCTACTAAGAGCGCCAATTGTATAAAATACGCAAACGACGTAGAGATCCCATGTTGAAAAGATTCTCTTTTCAGCGAGTATCCACATTTGTCTTTGGTTAATCCAATTATAGGTGATTTCAATTTTGATTGGTCCATCGCATCCCTTTAGAAAATATTACAAATTGGTCTATTTAAAAGGAAAATCACTAACCACACAGATGTATTTCCACACAGTTGCAAAAGTATGTATGATCACCATGAATATCAAGCTGAAATTCATTATTAAACTGAGGATGCGGTGTTGGGTCCCAGCAACAGAATGAACTGCAACGATGTTAGTTAGATCAGTGTATATAAGTGTTTTCTATATATTAGAACTTACTAAAGAACTGAGATAACTTCAATGTCATTCTAAGAAAAACTAGAATTATAAAAAATATATAAACATACTTATTGCGAATGATTGTAGCCACAATCATGAAAAGTGTTGTTAAAATATTAATAATTATTGATGCTGAAATAGGTTAATGCTTTAGAAATAAAAAATAATAATCTATTTATGTAAAACTTACCCGTATAGTCTGGTTTCAACGGAGCCTTCAATTGATTCTGCGCCGAAAGTTTATGAATGATAATAAGGAATGAGTCTAAAGCAATCAAAATGTAGGCGGAAAATTTAGCGAATAAATACCAACCATTTATAAGGTTGCTTTCGAAAAAGAACTAAAATGAAACTTTGAAATAGAGATTATTGTTTAAATAAATTTAAAGTCACTTCGTATGTCTCCGAAAAGTATGTAAAAAAGTTACATATACACATGAAGAACATCCATTGGAAATTGAAGCAAAGGAACGTGATGTTATTGGTGACTTCATTTGCGCTGACGCTCTCTTCGTACGAACACTACGGATTATAATCAAAAACGATTTTCACCCGTGATGCTATATGCAGGTGTGATAGCAGTTACCTCGCTTATCAAATCCCAATCTAGGAAAAGTTTGTTTGAGGTGATTCCTTTGAAGAAAATATTCTCATTTAGGGAATCTTTGTCGGATTTTAAAGCACTTGCTTTCATGATCAATTAAAAATGACAATTTAAAAAATTGTTTTGTTTATTTACGAAAATCACTGATGACAGTTTATATTTTGTTAATTTATTGCAATACAATTTGAAAATAATTTTAAAAAAATGGACAATATTAATATAATGAAAAAAAAACACATTAATAAACAATAAAATTATTTTTTTCCGCAAGAACTTATATATTGTGACATGAGCATCTTCAATGTTGGATCCTTATGTTTTAAAATTTTCTGAGAAATTGCTAATACGTCGGCGCCGAAACCAAGTGTGTCGATCTCCAATGGCAATAAGGATATTGCCAAGTAATTCTCCGCAAGTGTTTTTGCATTTTCTATCATCCTCTTAGCAAGGGCTACTCTTATTGCATTAGACTTCAGAGGCATGATTTTCAAAAAGACTATGATATACTTGGAGAAGTAATGTATTGCTTCGAATCCGAATAACTTCTGATGTTGGATCGTGTTGAAGGTATAGAAAAAATCGCGTAGCTTGTCCTTGATATAATCTTCGAATGACTTCATGACAAAGCTTTGTACCAGTTCAATAAATATCTGATACTGGAAAACCATCTTTTCCGGCACTTGCAGCAATTGAAGTTTTTGCAAAAATATGTAGGTGAACACGCCAACATTTTCCGAATCAGTGTATAGCAGTATCTCCTTACATAAAAACAAAATGAAGTCCGTACAATGATTGGTTTTCCATTCGGTCGATTGCATAGCGTTGAAGAAGAATGTGAAGTTATAATCTCTCAAGATGTATCCGCAAATGAATTGAACGGTTTTCTGGCTGGGTAACATTTCTAAAAGTCTTTTGAATATGTTGTGGAGCATGGCGTGTTTCAGTTTCAACAGCATGGGTATGGATAAGTTCCAAGCAATTTTCATGGTCATAGTTTGCTTGTCCGACCAAATAAATTCCGCGTAGTCGAGAATTTTCTCTTTTGGTATTTTATGGAAACGATGCAATATTTTGAGGACTTCTGCGTGCGATTCCGGTTTGATTATTCTAAGAATCAGTTGCATGTACTCGTCACTTGGATCACGCGCAAAGCAGTTGATTGCTGTTTTGATTCTCTGCTTATAGTCGCAATTCGTGTTATATTCTATAATCCTTCTTGCGTTGTGCACATCTATTAATGGGGTAGTAAAATATATTGGAATATCATCGGTGTTTACATTCTCCAGCGGGGTCTTCCTCAATAAATTAGTGGTGACTGCTGCCATTTTTTTGCCGAAATCGCTGTTTATATATTGGATGGCCAAGTCAAAGTATGGAATTGGGGTTCTGGCCAGTGAAAAGAAATACAGTTGTTTGCAAAATGAATTATCTATATTTGCATCGTTTGCGTTTCCATTATTGAGGTACTTTTCAATATTAATCCTAAAGTTCTTCTTATAGCATTTCAAGCCAATATGATTGAAATACTTATTGATGCGGGTGTAGTGCATTTTCGCGCACTCATAGAAAAAATTGTAATCTGTAAATATATTTTTTTTAATCCTCTTTGCATTTTCCATTATGACTTCTGGTCTATTAATCAAAATATTTACAATGACTTTTTGGCTGTACGCCTCCGGATCGCATATCATCAGGTAACGTCGCCAAAGCATTTTCTGTAGTTTCAGTTGTTCAAAAGTTTCCGTTTTGTAACATAGGACTGATTCAACGATGCAAGTGTAGTAAAAATTGCCCTGATTTTTGAATTGATCGAGTAACACATTCAAGCATGCACCGTAATCGTAATAAGAAATCCTAGTCTTCTTAGTTTTTTTATTGTAATCCTCGAGGAAGTTTAAAAATTCCACAACGAGATTCGACTGATCCGTGTATTCTTTGTTAATCAGCTGACCCATCATCATAGCGATTTGTCTTTGCACCTTTGAAGATACCTTCTCGAGGCTCCACAGCCTGAAGCAGCCTCCTTCCATCAAGTATTTATTCAATAAAATGTAATCCACTTTTCCCGCTCTAATGCTTTTTATTAAATCAACTTCTGTGAAATACACGCGGTCAAAAAATGTTTCGTTGTTCTCCTTAAATCCGTTTATTATGATTTTCACACAATCCCAGTGCTTTTCGCTCAGATGCAACAATTTGAAGTGCTCTTTAAGCGCTAGCAACACGGACTCGCGTATGGGAAAACTATAGTCATATCCTTTAGTTGAAATATGGTTCAATATAAATTGGAGAGCTGCTTTATCGTTATTTATTTTACAATTATGTATCGCCATCTTGTACATCGTGATTCTGTAATTGATGTTCTTCCGCGAGTTGATATTGCATAGAGTTGTCGATGTGACAACGGCGCTATCTCCCAACATTGGATCGTTTCTGATAATAAACTTACTTCTATTTTCGATAGGTATTGCCATTAATAACTTTGATTCTACCGAAATTTCAATTTCGTTTTTGTATAATTCGTGGTACCCGGTGGATAGCGCCGCGAATCTTCCATGTTCCGGCAGCAGAATCAAATTGTTGTAAATGTCATCGCTGCTGGAGAAATCAAGGTTGTTAATAGGGAAAAGATTCTTGAAATAGGCCATCCACTCGTTTTCCTTCAAGTGCCTAAAAATAGATCTTTTCCAATGTTGGTATTTTCGTGGATTATTGATGATATCGACTTTGTTGCTGTCTATCAAAAGGCCGATACCTCTCCTTCCAAGTTTCTTATTATATTTCGAGAGAGCTAAGAGACCACTGCCATCCTGTTTCTTGACCAAAAAGTTGATGACCGCATTTCCCGGTATGAAATCGTTACTCAACTCGTAATACCAATTCATAATACTAAAACCAAATCGCTTGTATAACTTGATCATTTCGCGATCGGTGAACTTCACGTACATTTCTTGAATTTTTTTTTGGCTGCACGCCGTCAGTATTAAATTGGCTTCCGACTTTCCATACTTTCCATAAATTAAATCGTAAAATGAATCTTGTCCTTGAACTAATAATTTACCAAGATTTCTTAGAATGCCAATTCTACAGTTGTACGACACTTTCGGGCATATTTTAATTATAAATATGTTTTTAATACCAACAATATATTTCAAAAACTTCTTATTTTTTATTATAACTTTCGTTAGGATCCAATTTGAAGAAAATAGTATATTTATTAACTTTTCAAATTCATTAAAAATTAATAATATCTTTACATACGATATATCCTCTTGTATATTTCTCGTCAATATTCTATTAATAACCATTTGACGATGACCAGGTCTTAATTCCTTCAACTCGGAAATATAACTCCCAAAGTTTTTTTGGTAATCAATCGCATTGCAGCCGCCCAATGTATTGAAGACTACATCCATGATTGTAATTATACACTTAACTTATTTACACATATAAGCTCACAATTTTTAAAAACGAATAAACACTAAATTGTATTTCTCGATACACGCTACGTATATTTTTTTTGCTGTTCTCTCGACATTTACAATAACTTTTTGCTACACTATTTTTTGTTTCCATTAATCTTTTCGAAGTCGATCGTTTCTCTAACATACATATTTCAGTCGTCCATTCAAAATATATTTTATCGTATGTGTAGTGTAACTGTCCAAATTTCAATCATTCGAAATGTCTATGGAAGTAAGTGTTTTAAATTTTCTACATTTATAATTTCAACTTGAACAAAATATATTCAAATAATGTAAATTATAATTAATTTGACTGTTTATATTATACAACCACTGATAAAAATAAAATTTAATCTATATTAAAGAACTGAGGGATTTTTTTAAATTTATTACTTGCTGGAATTACCAAATTATTATTTTTTTTATACTTTTCATTATCCATCTAATTTCTTACGATTATCTAAAAAAATAAAATATTTATAATAAAATTATTATGTTATTAAAATATGATATAATATTAATCCGAGTTTACAATTTTGTAGTTTTATTTTGTGTGTTTGTTGCCTATTTTTGATTATATTCTTGTAGATGAGAACTACTTTTACAGTAGCAAAAGCTAGATCATGGACACTAATAGAGTATTTTATTATTAAGTAATTTATCGTTTGTATTCATGTATATAAACTTTTATTGTTAATTCTTTAATATTTTAGTTTATTAATTCATTTATTTTTTCATCTTTATCCAAAGTATTTTTAAAATTATAAATGCATTATTTCATGTAAATGTATTGTTTCAGGAAGCTGCAATGTATTTAATAAGATTTGCAACTCTCGGAGGTGAAAATCTAAAGGAACACAATGAACTATTTGGAGAATTGTGCAGAGATTTGAAGAAGCTGGAATTAAGATATGCATTATTAATTCTCAAGAGTTTTGCACCTGTTCATAAATCAACATTACAGGAATGTTTCTTTTATACGAAGCTGCTGTTTATGTTTGGTGAATTGAAAACATTACTTCAAATGTCATTTGGTAAAAACAAACTCATTAATCGTAAAATTGTTCGAAATAAAACATTTATCAATTTCGTTTCTACAATCTGCCTGAGAGACTTCGTAAATGATGTGTGTATGAAAACATCTTACATAAACCGCTTGTACATGATAAGAAAAATAAGTCGTCTGGTTCCTCATCCCGAAATATTTTTCTTCACCATCTTCTCTGCATTCGGATTTGAATCAGCTAGGCCCTTCCTACCTTACTGTTCAATGGAGGTGGTTAAAGTGTACCTGACGGAAAGACACATCACTTTCAATGATAAATCTCTCTTGTCCTTGCATCGTAAGGACCCAACCTTCCTGAAGTTATACTTTAAAGTAACGAAAGACAAACTAAGGAAGAAGCTATGCATCGCGCTATGCAAAGATAAAGTACTGTTAGAGTTGAACAAAGATCTTATATTCGGTAAAAGATCCTTCCGTGATTTTTATAATTTAAATAAGGCATACGTCTTGAAGAACAGCCTGAAATTCGTGAAGTTCGCTAAGACAATCATCGTTATGTACGGCATTGAAGATTACAGGATATTTTTAAAAAATATGCTTCCGAAATATGAAGACGATTTTAAAATTACTAAAGAGATCATTCAAACACTTCTGGCACTTTCGAAGAAGCAGCGTTTCAACGAGTTCTACACTATCTATAAGGATCTTTACTGTAGAAGCTTCGTTGACGCAAACGAAGATCTCGTGATGATAATAACCACTGAAGATAGGTTAAAATTGGACATTGGGGTCAGACTGGAATATCTACTCGCATCGGAAAGTCTGCAACGATTCCGGGCTATGAAAAATATATCAGAAGAAACTTTGAAGAAAATGATTATATGCTGCAAAGTGAATAACTGTACTGATACATTGCTTGAAGTATTAACCGCATTTAGCAAATGTTTCCTTTACAAAAAGAACAAGTTTCTAATAGCTTTCATGAAAAATTTGAAAATGATACCCGTGGAAAATTTGGGAGAAAGACACTGGCATTACATCAATACTTATTTGACGTACGTGAAAAAATTCTCTGTATACGATTTACCTATTTTCCTCCACTACTTCATAAATTATGCACTTTTTAAGATGCGACAAAGAGTGAGATGCGAGGAAGTGCTAATTTCAATATTACGTTACTCCATTGCTTCAGATGACTTAAGATTTTTCAAACATTATCCGGAAGTAGAGAGATACTTTCTGATGAGTGCACCACCACTTATCGATAGCATTGATAATGTAGATAATGACGAGTTGAAATTGAAATATTATTATAGTCTGTACCTGTACAATAACGATAACAGGTCAAATCAATTTACATTATTCTCGTTTCCCACATGGTTCCCAAATTATATTCGCAAACTACATAAACCAGATAGTAAATGCATGTATAAAGTTTATCATATCATCATTGAGCTTTGGAAACAGGATACTGAGAGCATGAGTTACATGGATTACAGGGAAGAAGTGTTAACCGCTTACTTTAATAATATGACTTGCATGATATCCGAGAATTTGCTTCTATGGTTCCTGACGAACAAACCGAGAGTAATAGAAATATTCCTGGATACAATCATTTCAAAAACTCAGCCCTACCTAACATACTTCAATTTTTACTACGAATTGAATAAAATGGCATGGCTGGGTTTGGCCAATAAACTGAGTAAATTTTGCATGTTGATTTACAATGCACAGGATGTGTTCCTCGGTAGAGGTGTCTTCCAATTCCTATCGTACAGTTCAAACTTTGGAAATGCAACTCAATCTTACGATCCCACCGTCTGCGATTTGAGCATGTACAATTCGAAAGTTTTGCAAGAATGCCACAGATCTCTGCTGCTCGGCGGAAAGAATTTTATATACCCAGAAACTGCTGTGCCGTTCGTATTAAAATATTGCTCATTTCAATACTTTAAATATTTTACGCCAACATTCTACAATTTGATATTTCATTCATCGCACGAATTCGTCCAAAAACTTCTTATCGAAATCTTAAAAGGCAGATATGATTTTCCCGTATGGAAGCACGGAATTTACTTAACTTACAGAATGTTGAATCAAACGTTGTTTATTAATTACATCACTGAGCGTATTAGAACGGAACCAGACCCTGAAGTTTTCAAATGGATTTTCAAAATAGCCGTTAAGCAATTAGTGGAGAATTGTCATGAATCGACGTTGAATATCATCGCAAAATCAAACAAATTGATCGACTTGGACGGGATCAGCGAGCTGAAGCATTTCAAGAACGTTCCAACTAAGTTATTCTGCGATTTCGTGCGATTCATTTGGAAGAAAAACGACCAAACAGAGATAATTAAGTACATTACCGTAGAAGCGATCACTTTATTCCCAACCAATTTTAACATCGAGTGTCTGGAACTGGCGTTTCATACGTTGAATATTGACTACATGTACAATTTCTGCTCTGCTTCCTTCGAGAATGTGGATCTCTTCACTACGTTCGCTCCGACAAATGAAATGTTACATAAGATAGTAAACCGGGCAGTTAAGGAGAGGAACGCCAAAGTGGCAAAATATATGACGTGCAGCTTATTAAAATTAACTTACAGCATGAGAATCAAGCTGGTTCTGCTTCAAAGATATATGTCCAACCATGAAATGTTTGTTGTCGATCTAATTAGTTACCATGATAATCTGTTTGAGGATTATACAACTTCTATATTGCCATCATGCAGATCCATTATACGAGAATTTGTCATTGAACTCGGAATAGATCAGCTGGAGTTGGCCGAAGGCCTTATGAACTATAATTATAAAGTACTCCGATTGAAATTGTTAGCATTGGACATGCTTCCGTCGTACAAGGCAAAAGATTTAAACTTTAATGCACGATTAAGTAGAGTTCTTAATCTTATTCGAAAAGACAGCAATGATGTCATATGCGGGTATTGTAACTTGTATCTAAGCGGAATTCGATAAATTGTATTTCATAATACTTTATTTATTTATTATATTTATATTTATATCATCATTAATTTGTTATTTAAAAATAAAATAAACTATTACTAAACATATTATGTTTCAATACATTAAAAATAAACAAATTTGTTATGCATATTTTTTTCAGATAAATGAGAAAATATAGGTATATGAGTGATAAGACGGTACTTAATATTTAGGGGTTGAAAAAAAGTTATAGTTGAGCAAGATTAGTATGTTTAACATGTCTAGTGAGTTAATCAATGTTATTATATAAAACAATACTTACTTTGTGCGTCGGAGCATATAGCAATTAATTTCAAAAACGTTTCTAAAAAAAAAAGAAGATATATTTTGTAATAATTGCAATGCATATTTTACTTGTGCAATTATTTTTGCATTCTTATCAGACGCCTCCTCAATTATGAAACGTTTAAAACGAACTATTGTTTTTTTTTATTACGTAAATGTGGATGGCAAACACTACTCACTCACTAACACAATTTCCGTCGAACTAGATGCGTATAATGAACATACTAATACTTGCACTGATCTCTGCACACGGGGTGTATAGTTTTGATTTCCTCAATGTCGGCTCGTTAAGTGTCAAAAGGAAGCTGGAACATGTTTTAGAGGACAGCGAAGAAACTGCTTGCAAAAATGATTTGAGCAGTTTAATGCATGATTTCTACTCGAAGAAGACGTGGGCAATGAAAAGTAAGTGTATTTCGATTTATATAATAATTTAATTGTCTCATAATTTATTTTTCTAGTGATTGATGCTGCAGGTAAACCGAGTTCTGGTATAATGTTTGGTAATATAATGCAGTCCGGAAATTACGATGAGTGCATGTCTATAAATCATAATTTAATTAAGGGAAAATACTGCACTACAATCGTAAAGCCGATTGATGGTTTCGAAGACGTTACATTCTTGAAAAATGGCAATAGCGTATAAACTGTAGATTCTGTTACATTTCAAGTTTTGTTAATAATCGTTTGATTTCAGTACTTGAAAGCCTTAGGTGTTGACTTTGATAGGAAGAATGTCACAGAAGTTTTGGATAATATAAGATGGACTTGGGGATTCTGCATTCCACTTTCATGCAACCAATTTGATATTCAAAAGATTGTAAATAAAACCAGAGACTATTTGAATATTAAATTTAATTTCCAGTTTGATGACAAGTATTGTACAAGCTCTGAGAAAGATCCGCTTACTGCAAAAGCTATTTTTGGCATGTAATGTAATCTACAAATTTAATTGTAGTCATTTTAATTACAGGAACATTTCAGATTATTATTTTTGTTGATAGGTATAATCATTACAGCGAGCACAGTATATGATATAAGAGTATATAAAAAAACTGGTTGTAAGATTTTGAAGTATTAGAAATTAATTATTAATCTAATGCATTTTTTCAGGTGACAAAGCGGATATTTTAATTGCATTTTCCTTATACTCCAATGCGAAAAAGCTGTTCTCAACTCAAGTTTCTGCAGATAATTTAGGCGTTGTAAATGGTGTCCGTGCACTGAGTATGACTTGGGTCCTTTTAGGTCATACGTTTATGGTGAATTTGTTCTTTCCTAGCGTGAACAGTATTGAAATTTTTGATGTTAGTTACAATGTTCACAATTAAATATCAAAATACTAAAAACTATGTATTTTGTAGTGGAAAAATCATTTATATAATGTTTTTGTTCTCGCTGCTCCATTGGCTGTGGACACTTTCTTTGCGTTGAGTGGTTTTCTTGTCGTATACGTATATTTCAAAAGCATCTACAGCAACAGAAAAATTACTTGGTCCATGTTTTACATCCATCGTATTCTGAGGTAGATCAAACATATTTATAAAGTATATCGCTAATGCTCATTTTTCAGGCTAACTCCATCTTTAGCTATGATCATAGTATTTTATCTATGCATTCTAGAATTGTTAGGGGAAGGTCCTTATTGGTTTGCGATCAAGGAATTGTATGTAAGGAATTGTGAAAAACATTGGTGGAGCACATTAATTTACATCCAAAATTACTACAATTCATTAGGCACGGTAATAAATTTTATCATAATAATTTTTTATAATGTGCAATTTGTTATAAATTATAAGAAATTATAATTAATTGAAAAACCTTGGTAAAACAATTCATACGTAAAATTATTTTTGATTTTATATAATTAAACGTCTATTTACGTATAATATTGTTTGGACAATTTGTTTTAGTGCGTAAACCAAAGTTGGTATTTAGCTGTGGACACACAACTATATTTTATAGCTCCTGTAATTTTATACTATTTGAAGAAACATGCCATGAAAACATTAATTGCTATAGCCATCGTTTTCTCTATATCAGCCTTGACTGCATTCTCGGTATCATATAATAATTATGTAGGAGCAGCGCCTTTCGAGTAAGTAACAAATAAATATGGTAACAGGAAATATATCCATTACTTTCTAGAGCTGGAAGCAAATATTTTACATATTTATATCACCCAACGCATATCAGAATGACTGCTTGGCTTGTCGGAACGGTTTGGGGATACATACTCTTCAGAACTAAAGACGTGGATCTTAAAATAAAAAAGGTTGTATTTATCTGATAGTAAGACTCATTTATTAAGTTTCAAAACAGTTTTATATAGTCGTTATCTGGGCGGTGCACGTGATCTTGATGATTATAATTGCTTTAAGTCATGTTACTATGACAAGATACTCGAACCCTTATGACCCTTTGACAGCAGCATTTTTTAATTCTCTGGCTAGACCTACTTGGGCTTGGTGCATATGTTGGTTAATGTTTGCTTGTATCAAAGGATACGGAGGTAATTATTACTAATTATATAGAGAAAAATAATTAATACAAAAAATCGTATTGCGTTTTTAGGAATATTGAATGACATCCTTTCATGCAAATTATTTATGATAATTGCCAGATTGAATTATAGCATGTTTCTGGTGCATCTACCGATTATGCTCATTTTTATTTCACAGAAAAGGTCTTCGATTTATCTCTCTAATCTGTTCATTGTAACCATTGTAATATTTAATTGTTTAACGTTGTTTGATTATTGATTATTTTTAGTGTTTCGACTTTTGGGCTTATTTCACTATGACTATAGCCGTATCCATACCTTGGACATTGGCTTTCGAATCACCGATCATTGTGCTTGAAAGAGTATTATTTAGTAAAAGTGAGTTCTCAAGCTATGTTTAAGGAATCTTAATGCTCATTATGCTCATTTATGTTTTAGATAAGAAATCACAAGGTTTCCCGAAGAACGGAATAACGAATAACTTGACTATAGTTGATATAACAGATATTAAAAGTAAAAATATTTATTAACGCAGTCGATTCATAAATAATATTCGTTTAAAAATATTGTGCACTTTTACAATATTATTGTCAAAATTGATACACCATTACCATTACCATTAAAGAAAATGCTATGTTTATAAAATATAGTTTAAAGAAATCTAAAATAAATAAAAGAAATGTTTGAATATTCAAAATGCATTTACTACTATTAATGAAGTGCTTGAAATGTTGGCATTTAAAAGTAATAAATACCGAAAAATTGAAGAAACTAGCATAATTTTAAGGATTGGTAGTAAACAAATAACGAAGTTAATATAAATCTAATACTTTATAGAAGATCTAAAATGTAAATAGAATTAAAAAGTCAAAAAATTTTGCTGGACGATAATTTATTTATCCATTTACAACAGATAGTTCCAAGAAAAAAAAAACAACATTCACATTTTTTTATAGTTTTTTTTTTCTTAATTTACAACATCAAAATTGCACAAAATAATTTGCCCAATTTCCACGACTACACTTAATAATTATCTAGATATATACTACAATCGATAATTACATATACATTATATAACTTGATTTTCTTTTTTCCACGGAAACGAAGGAAAAAATAATAATTAAATTTAACAATTAATAAATCTGTACATAATAATCATGAATAAAAATGATTTTTTTTAGTTATAAAACTTACAAGTGTAGAATTATTTAAAAATGTATTGCGTCCCAATTAAAAAAAAATACAGGTTTCGTCAAGGAGCCTCGAAAATATTATACAATGTAATTAATACTCGGTGGAAAATCGGAAACGCAAATGGAATGAAAATTAAAATATTTTAGGGAACAATTTTAACCCTCACCAAGAGAAATGGATATCTACACTAGGCAAAAAACAGTATTATTGTACACTTGGAAAAGTAATAGTGAGTGTTTGAAATTATTTTACTTAATCTTCCAAATTCCTGAAGGCTTGCTGGATGTCCTCGTACAATTGCTCAAAGTCGGCCTTGATCTTGGCTTCGCCGTCCTTTACTGGGTCTTTGAATTTCATACTGCTCAATTGGTACAGAATGTTGCCCATGGAGTCCCTGATCACGTTCCATGTGATCTTGTTCTCGGACTGCGCGGTACTTTCGACGGCATGCCTGGACATATCGTACAATCCAATCATGTTTCTCAACATACCCACGGTCTTGTAGAATGGACAGAATCTGTCGTAAGATGAGTACGAGTTTTGTTGCAAGAAATCTTCCTTGAGCAGCTTAGCGACTTCAAGGGTGATCTTGTCGGTTTCGGCCAAGGAAGCCTTACCGACGAGCTGCACAATTTCGGACAAATCTTCCTCTTCCTGCAAGATTTCCTTGACTTTGGTACGGAGTGAGACGAATTCAGCAAAGTTCTTGTCGTAGAAATCATCCAAAGCCCTAGTGTATTTGGAGTAGGAGATGAGCCAATTGATGGAGGGGAAATGTTTGCGTTGGGCCAATTTCTTGTCCAAACCCCAGAACACCTGCACGATACCCAAGGTGGCGGAAGTGACGGGATCGGAGAAGTCACCACCAGGTGGAGATACGGCGCCGACGATGGATACGGAACCTTCTCTGTCTGGGTTACCCAAACACTTGACGCGACCAGCACGTTCGTAGAAGGAGGCCAAACGGGCTCCCAAGTACGCTGGGTAACCGGAATCGGCAGGCATCTCAGCCAAACGACCGGAGATTTCTCTCAAGGCTTCGGCCCAACGGGAGGTTGAATCAGCCATCATGGATACGTTGTAACCCATGTCACGGAAGTATTCAGACAAGGTGATACCAGTGTAGATGGATGCCTCACGAGCAGCGACAGGCATGTTGGAGGTGTTGGCTACCAAAGCGGTACGCTTCATAATAGATTCGGTCACTCCATCGATTTCAACGGTCAATTCGGGGAAATCACGCAATACTTCAGACATCTCGTTACCTGGAATGCAAAATCATATTTAAACACTATTCTTGATTGTTCTAAATTTGAAAAAATACCTCTTTCTCCGCAACCGACGTAGATGATAACATCGGAGTTGGAGTACTTGGAGAGAGATTGTGAAATGACAGTCTTTCCGCAACCGAAAGCTCCGGGAATTGCAGTGGTACCGCCCTGAACACATCTGGAAGGAAACAAAAAGTTTAATACTTGCTATGCTTTCAATAACACATCTACATACGGGAACAGAGAATCCAACACACGTTGTCCAGTAAGAAGTGGGTGGTTGGCTGGCAACTTTTCGCTAACTGGACGCGGTTGACGTACAGGCCAGACCTGCAACATGGTGAATTTCTGGCGTTCACCATCGAATTCGGTCTCCAAAACCACATCATCGACGGTGTAGTTGCCGGGCGAGGCAATGTAGGTTACAGTACCCTTAGCCTTGGGTGGCAAAATCATCTTGTGCTTAACCAAAGTGTTTTCATGGACGATACCATAAAGATCACCTCCAGTCAAATGAGAACCCATCTAATAAATAATAACATAAGAAATTATATAAAACTATAAAAGATCCGTATAACGAAAACCTACCTTGATGTTGTGTGGCATAAATTCCCATTGAGTGGTCTTGGACAAAGCTGGAACGTTCACGCCCTTGGGGATGTAAATACTTTGGGTCAAGTCGTTGATGTCCTTCAAAGGTCTTTGAATACCGTCAAAAATGGAGCCCAAGATACCAGGACCCAATTCAACGGACAGTGGTTTTCCGGTACGCAAAACGGGATCTCCTACAGTTACGCCAGAGGTTTCCTCGTATACTTGAATGGTGGCCATGTCACCCTCAAGACGGATAATTTCACCGACAAGTTCGTAGTAACCGACACGTACCAATTCGTACATAGCCGAACCGCTCATTTTTTCGGCAGTAACGACTGGAAGAAGTAAATTGATATTCAGGAATTTGTAAGTCAATTATTTTATTCATTTTTTCTTACCAGGTCCAGATACAGCGTATACATAGCCGTAGTTGGATTCCTTCTCTTCATCTCTAATTTTGGGGAGAGACATTTTGACTGAATGTTGCGTTTAACCTACATACGAAAAATCTAATTAGTTTTCTGAAAAACCTGCATTATAAAATATTGCATTATAAATATTATTATAAAATAAATTTATAATAAAATATGTGTTTATAATAGATGCAATAAAAGAAGACCATAAATATAAATTATTTAAATAATATAATTACTAGTTAAAACTAAAAAAAAATAGATTTATTCTATTTGATAGAAATCAATAAATGTTTTAAATTGCTGTCACGGGATGTTCCAAGGTTTAAAACAGTTGAAAAGGGTTGAAATCTGGCTAGGATTAGAGATGTTGCATGATCACGTGAAGAATATAGTTCGTGTCACAATATTAAACACATGATCTAGCGTTAGGGAAAATGTATTAAAGCTAATTGGAAATCATGTGCCGCTCCTCTATACTAAGGTCACGCGCTAATCAAAATGGAGACTACGCCTTAAAGCGCTTTCCAATTAGTGAAAAATATAATACCTTGCAGAATGATTACAGGATTTTCTTCAATATCAAAGGGCGTGGACCAGTATTGGCTTTTCAATAGTAGAAGGTATATTCGAAATGCAATATTGTATCAGAAATAAAGTAGGTCGAGACGAATACCGAAAGGTTGCCACGAAAATCAATAAAATATAGAAACTCCGAATTAATTGAAAGTAGTTTACTATTAGTTACAAGATGAGTATACTTGGTTCTTACGAATATGTAAAGGCAGATAAGAAACTTACTTGTTATTCTCACAATAACTCCACCAAACTGACCACAGTGATGTTCGCTCGAACTCCTCTCCTCGCACTGTAATACAGATCTTGTGATTCGAGTCAGCTGACACTGACAATAATTATTACCAACATAACAAGTACTAAAAATGGAGTATCTAATTAGTTATTTATTTATCACTGATAAATATACTATTATGCAACCAATGTTTTGTTAATTAATTTATATAATAATTATATAAATATATCTACTATATACCTATAAAATAATACATTAAAAAAGGGTATACATTTATTGAGTTTGCTAAGAAGTAATAATTTTGCTAAATAATTATTTGTTTATATACCAATTTTAATTGTTAACTATTTGAGTGTTGAGTAGGCAACTTTATATGCATCTTTGACTTTTCCAGAGAAATGTCATTATGACAGATGATTCATAATAGATCCATACAATCCATAACATCATAGTTTATTATTGTGTAGTTGAATATTAGAAACTGTTCAGTTTAAATAGAACATGGAGTGGTTATTTGGTAAAAAGTTATCCCCTGAGGAATTATTAAGGAAGAACCAAAGGTCTTTAAATAAAGCAATGAGGGATTTGGATAGAGAAAAGATGAAAATGGAACAACAAGAAAAGAAAATTATCATGGACATCAAAAAGTTGGCCAAAGAAGGTCAAATGGTAAATACCTCAAAATGATTATTGTACCAATACAATTCTTTCACATTTCTTTTAGGATGCTGTTAAAATTATGGCTAGGGATTTAGTGAGGACTCGCAGATATGAAAAGAAATTTATGCTGATGAAGGCAAATATTCAAGCAGTTTCATTAAAGATCCAAACTCTAAGATCACAAAATGCCATGGCACAGGCAATGAGAGGTGTCACAAAAGCAATGCAAAGTATGAACAGGCAATTGAACTTGCCACAAATTCAGAAGATTTTACAAGAATTCGAGAAGCAATCTGAAATCATGGATATGAAGGAAGAGATCATGAATGATGCCATTGATGATGCTATGGAAGATGACGCTGATGAGGAGGAAAGTGATGCTGTTGTTAATCAAGTTCTTGATGAATTGGGTCTTCAATTAGGAGATCAGTTGTCTGGTTTACCACAGACCAGTGGAAATTTACCAGCAACTGGACAGAAAGTGCCCCAGGCTCAACCAATTGCATCTGGAGGTATTTCAGATGCTGATGCAGATCTGCAGGCCAGATTGGATAATCTAAGAAGGGAATAATTGTGATGCACTTTATGTTGGCAAAAAGGAGACTGCTTACAAAGCTTATAGAGTGTTTTTAAGCTGAAGATGTTAATTTTTTATTTCTATATAAATATTTAACTACTGTTTGCTTAATTATAAAAACAAAAACGGATTACATGTAAAAGTATTTCTAGTTAAAATATATACACTAATTTTTAATAACAAATTCACGAACAATAGATGGCATTTTTACCTTTACCATAAATCTAGATTTTCTAATTGACTTTTATCTACTGGTGGTATTTCTTCGGTGGAAACGAAGCTAAGAGTTTGTAAACATTTATCTGAAAACAATCAACTATATTCATGTTATCTTAATTATGTTATATTACCATCAAAATCTCTAAACTTAATTTTTGTTTGTAATGTAATCAATCGGTCTTTAATCAATTTGTATTGAGCACAAATTTTCACGTCTCGTTCTATGAATTCGTACGATTTAAAATTTAACTCGTGCAGAATTTTCACACAGATTCTAACAAATTCTTAAATAAATGATTATTTTAATTAAATACATATTAATATTTCTACAAACAACATACCTTCTAATAGATCACCTTCACAGTTTTCATATATGTTGAATGCAAAATGTATGAGAACAATGCTCAATTTGTTCAGTTCAAAGAGGCAATTGTAACTGTAATTTAAATATATATATACAAAAAAGTTAACTACACAATAAAACACAACTTACTGTGTATTTTCTTGGTAATAAGTCCACGATGCATTTGAAGCCAGGATATTGGAAATAAACTTTAAAACATTTAGATGCTTCTCCAGGTTAATCTCAATATTCAAACAATCGTCGTGTGCCAACGTATCTTTATAGATTAGACTGAATACTTCTAAAATGCAGCTGTCTAAAAAAAATATTGAAATATTACTATAATTAAACTGCTTGTAATCAAATCTCACTATTCTGAAATAGTATAATTCCTCTATTCTTTTTGGTTATTAGATTATCCTGTGTTGGTTTCAAGCACAGGGACTCAACAAATTCTTTATGTAATGAAGCATCCTTGAGAACTCTTGACAAGTAAAACATTGTAACTGAATTGGGCCTGGCAAATACAATTTCCTTTGTCATGTTGCACATTTTTTCATTACTAAAAATGAAAAGAATATACGTATTTCTATATAGACATTAAATCATTAATGTAGATATGATAGTTGTTGATTTTCTTAGTTGCTGAAAACTCACACATATTTAAATGCTAATATGAACCATATTAAATTATTTACATTAAACTACAATAGTCAGGTCCTTCCAGCTTTTGACATAGTTTCTCCAATAGACAGCATACTCCAGCTAAGAAGCCACTATGTTCATTGGTTTTCCTCTGAAATATATTATATTAATATATTGCCTTCAGAACCTCTTTCAATACATACAATTTTGCCTATAATTTTTAACGATTCCAATATTACATTTAAAAAGCCATCATCGTCTGCATCATCGACTTCCATTGTTTGTTGTCTCGTTATAAGATTAGTTAAATCTGTGTTATATATTAAAATTTCGCTTAACAACGCTAACAATTGTCGACACCGAATGCCGCATTCTCCACCAAACCATTCGCTGCAAAAACAATGCTAATTATTGCTGTTGAGATTTTATTTGGCTGTTCAAACTTTGGATCTGTAATGCATGTATTCCCTTTTAACAAGTTATGTGTATCCATTAAATAGTACAAGTCCATTTTCCTAATGGTTTCACATTGTATGCACTTTTCAAACTGTACTAAATGATCTTGGAATTTAAGTAAGATTTCCAGTGTAAACTCATATAACTGAAATAGAATTTTTTTAAAAATTGTTTTTGTTTTTGAGTAAACATACCTTGATTATACATGGTTTTAATTTTTTGGATTTTAAGTCATCTGTGGTCGCATACAAAACCATACCGATATTATTAAAAATCTCTTCATATTTTTCAGCATGAATTGCTTTGCAGCTAAGCAGTGCATCATCTGTTACATTTGGATCTTTCAAAATACATGTGAATTCATATACATTTTTTGTAGGTATATTGCATATGCTACTTGATATAGTTTTTTGTAATGGATTTGCTGAAAAATGAAATAAGAAAAATAAACCAATTCCGATTAGATTAACTTACTTGTTATGGATATTGATTCAAGATTTAAGTCATTTACTGATTTTGATAGTAACCTTAAACAAATACTATAAGTATTTTGTAATTTATAGAACTATTTATTATACTTCTCTCGAGAATTTGCATCCATAGAGGATAATCTTGTCAGATTTTCTATTTTTCTTTTCACATTAAAAATTTCAAGGGTCTAAAAACATTATTATTAAATATTATCATGAAAAATAATAATTGCTAAGTAACCTTTAATTGTAATTCTTCTGTAACGCGTTTCAAGTCTACTTTAGATGAATTTAGTTTGTCTAACAATTCTTGCTCCTTCCTAGCATGATTTGTATTCAACAAATGAGTGGTTTGTTTTATTTGGTTTCTTAATATAGTTACTTCTCCTTCTTTTGACTCATACATTGCCTGCAATTCCTTAACTTTTTTATCCAAGACATTTGCATGGTTGCTCCTATAAAAGTTGCTTGTAGATGCAACGGCTGTGTCAATATGTATTTTTTTACTTGTGGAAGCAATAGCAGTATCATTATGTGTTTTTTTACTTGTTGATGCAGTAACAGTATCATTAAGAATTTTTGTTGATGATAGTTGTGAGTAAGGTCTTGCATCATTTGAAGTACCCTCCTTGATGTTTTGTGCAAAATCATCATATGTATTAGCAGTATTATTCAGTTGGCTCATGTTCTGTTTGTCCTAAGTGGAAACAGAAATGTTGGTATTACTATTCGAAGGCAATACATTATATTTACTTCATTTTCACAGATTTGTGTGGCTTGCAGAAAACAACCATCGATGTCATCAATGTCTGGATCAGACCCCCATAATTCTTCATAGCTTTCATCAACTTTTATTTTTTTCTCTGTGCTACCTTGGAAATTATTATAACGTTTCATTATTCATTCACAAAATGTGTACTAATCAATATAACTCTTTCACACTTTTCAAATAAACATAATCAATAATCTGCAATAATCCTTAGGAAGCTCTAGTGTTGCCAACATCAGCTAACATATTCTAAACACGAATAGCAAACCTTAGCATGTGAAATGAATTAATTACTAAATCTTAATACTCTGAAACGGGAATGATTAATTACTTTATTTCAGATTAATAAAACTTATATATTTTGATAAAAAGTATATAGATAAAAAAAATTTAAATGTTTTTCTGACTACATGTTTAATTTCATTAATATTCTTTAATATCTTAATATTAATTACAAATATTATTTATATATTTGTTTTATGTTGATTGTTATGTTATTTTCAAGTATCAGGAGATCAAAGTTTTCAAATTATTTGTAATTAGTTTATTGATTCTATTTAATCTCTATTTACTGTATAACTTCATATGAACGAAGATATCCACAGTATTAATTGTAGTGCTTTTTTTGTCTTGTATAAATCTTATATAATTAAAACTGGATCTTTTGAAAGTTAAGAAGTATTTAAATAAGTTTACTACAAATTGGCAACCAAACACGCACATTTCAAATGATAAAAATTGTACATAATATTTACTTTGAGGACACAAAAAAAAACTTATAATTCATTGGTTTTAACATATTCGTATCAATTAGATAACGAACTAGGCAGTGGCTCATCGAGCGCATGAAATTATGGCTTCATGTTTAGTGGAATAACATACGTGGCTAGTTAGTATAATATTTGTTTTTCTTATCGGACCAATAAAAAATATGTCGACGTTATCGCGTTATACAGATTGTTATTCAACAAAATAGAATAGAAACCAACACTGACAGCAGCAGGTCATTTGTATATACGTGCTATACTCGAAAAAATAAATAAAAATGAATGCAACGAACGGAAGCAGATTTCGTTGTTATTTTTGCAACAAGGAAATAGAAAAGGAGACCGAACAGGTAGATTCGTTAATAGTTGTATAAATTAACCTTACCATGTGGGTAATGTTTAAAGGGCCACATGACCACCTGCGGTTCCGTTTTGGAACCTTGCCCGAAGAAATGCGGTTCCTACGTGCCAAGAAATATGAAGAACAAACACGCAAAAGTGTGTCAAAATCGAAGATCTTTGGGTGAGCAAGATCTCTATGGTACGGCCGGAAGTAGATGCAGAACTTCAAAACTAGGTAAAGTAGCTTAACTTAAGAATTATAAATTTAATTTTTCTATTTATTAATTTTTTAATGATAGATAATCAAAATATCTACGAATCGCTGCGTCCTATGCCCGCAGCATATAGCAACAACAGTCACTTGGAACGCACCATTAACGACCTGAGTTCGAAGATAAACAGTTTATTGACCAACCAATTGGATTCAACCAGGATACATCAGCAGACGAATTTGAAAGTGAAAAATGATTTGGAAAAGTTGGCAAGTCAAAATCAATCGATGCAAGAATTTCGATCAACTGTTCAAAATCAAATGGACTCGCTCAGGAAGGAATTGAAAACGTTTGATAAGCTTAAAAGAGACAACGAGATCACAATCCACAATATACAAGAGTCTATCAAGGAGATCCAACTTTTGTCGCAAGGCTTGACATCCAGCAAAGTTGCATTGAAAGAGGAGCAGATATTTAACAGAGAAAATTTCCATGAAATCGCATTGAATTTGCAGGAAATCAAAGACAAGACAATTGAAGAAAACGCGGTGGTCGCTGCATTGTGGAACGACCAAAAGCAGCAGATCGAAAGGATCGCGAGTGAAAATGATGAGTTCGAAAAAACTTTTTCAGAATTAAATAACAAAATCAGTTCGCTCGGCTTCGATATTAGAGCTGCAGGTGAGCTGTCTACAGAGTGCGTGGAAAAGTTAAAGCAGCAGCAAAAGGAGATCGACGAATTGAGAAATAACTTGGCGCAAACCAAATTAGACGTCGAATTAGCTGAAGATTCGGTGAGCAGTATGCAGGGATTAATTTCAACAACGCCAGGTAAATAAAAAAAAAACATTTAAATAATAATATTTATTGCAACAAACATAATAAAGTTATAACACTGTAGGGTTACTGTCCTATTTCCTATTAATAATTTAATTATTTTAGGTAGAATTATTTGGAAAATTAGTGATTTTTTGATGAAGCTGGAGAGTGCCAAAAAACAAGAAAGAGTGCCCTTGAAGGGTCCCGTTTTTTACAGCGGAGATTACGGATATCGTCTTCGAGTAATTTAGCTAATATTAAGAGTGATTATACAAGTAGTTAAAACGTGTTTTGTAATTTGTAGCTTTTGGTGTTTTTAAACGGGCTTAGGAAGTGGAAGGGCAGATACTTATTGGCGTGTATACAAGTTATGAAGGGAGATTACGATGATTTGTTAAAGTGGCCGTGCAAGATTGAGGCTAATGTAGTTTTAAAAGATTGCGAAATGCAGGAAAGTGTAAGTACGATAGATAACTTAATACACTACATAGGTGTAAGATTAGATTAACTGATTTATATATATATATTAAAAAATTAAGTAGATCACGTTAACATCTTAATGTGTTTTAGGGCAAAGATTATTATAGATACATAACAGCTAAAGGGGAGTGCCCGAACGACGATCTCGAGGACCCCAACGAATCTTCGACGCAGTACATCTTCATACCTCACAGCACTCTAACGAGGAGCAACTATTTGAAAAACGATTCAATATATTTGGAAATCAAAATAGCAGGAAAAGCTAAAAACGAGACGCACGTCTAACAATAAGTTTATTTTAAGTAATTTATTAATGCATTTTGTACGACAAGTTTAATAAAGCAGCTGGCGAACAACACTCGTTTCCTCTCAATAAATAAAAGTCTACCTGCAGAATATTATGACTGATATTGAAAATGAAACTCGTTTTGACCATAATCAAAACAGAAGTAAAAAAAAGAACCGGTGTGGTCTTCTGCTTCAGGGTATGCACAGAATGGCCATGTGTAGCGTAGTGGACTCTGGCGTAGTAGAAACGCTGCTTCTTTTTAAAGAATTAAAAGTCTGTGAAGGCAAATAAGAATGAGGTGAATAGCCTCTCTCTCGGTACAGCATCCCGCGTCTCGCGACTCTCGACTTCAATCTGCTCTCGCGGCAATCTCAACTTTGCCACCTGAAATTTCTAAGATTCAATGACCCAATCTCAAATTCCCTACAATCATTTTTCAAACTGGACATCGCATAAACAACGCTCGACGACGACTTTCCTCTCGATTTCAGAGGTACAAATGAACCATCGAGAGTATACCAAAAGCCAAAAGCCGGCGAGAATTACTCAAGAAAAACGAGGCTAAGGTTTCGGGGCCACCTGTGATATAATTCGCCGAAAGGAAATTACATAAAGGATTAATTAATGTTAGTTAATTAATTCACGAAGGTTTTGTTTTGCTGCCGCAATTCTTTGTATAATGCATACTTAAAAACATTTCATTTAAAGAGAAATTAAAAGCAATTCTTCTATTTTCTTTTAATCAACAAAAAAATATAGTATTTTAATTGAATTTGAAAAAAAAACCCGCATGTATTATTAGAGAAGTTAACTGTTAAATGAAAAGAATGTTTTACTACGTTACCTACTACTTTTTTTTTGTAAAAAATAATTACAACGAAGAAAACAAGTCATTTGGCCTTTTAAATTTCTGATTTAACACGATTATCGTTGCTGTTTTTTTTTATTTAAATAATTGTTTTCCTTATAAAATGTAGGTAAACCGTTAGACTGTAATTGAAGTGAAATAAAGCTTGTTTGTTCCAATTCTTGTTTTTAATAGGTAGTAATGAATGAGGTGAAAACGAAAATAGAGGTTTAGAGGAGAAATATATCAAGAGCAGGTGACAGACGGTGGTGGAAACGTCAGTTGGCCGATTGGCGGAGTCCTTGAAGCACGTCTTCGTTTCTGCGTTGAAATTCTTCCGTCAATTGTAGAATTGAAATGCTTTCAACCATGAGATAAAGGAAAAGTATAAATGATTTACTTGTGGTTTCGATGCACACCTTATGATAATAATGCGACTGTAAAAACAAAACAAAAAATATTGAATACGTGCATACTACAGATTGACAGCGAAAAAAATTAATAAACTAATTAATTGCATTATGTATTTATAGTATTTAGTCTTGATAAAAAAATAGCAATATTATTTCTTTGATATTGAGATGACCTTGTCGTTTATAGCATTATTTATATAAGGAAATTTGATTTCAGATATAAAAATCAATTATTTAATAACTTGTAGTCAAGAAATACACTAAAATAGTATACAAAAATATATTTTTAGTGATGAATCAATTTATTTATATTAAAATCAATATTTGTTCAGATTCAATTTTTTGTAATTATCAAAATATCCCATGTTTATATAAAGTGATAAGTATTATGATTGATCAAGTTTTATTAGCAATAATCTTTATCAATAAGATATAGCTGATGTTCCGGTATCATTACTTAATTAAACTTATTAATCTGATAAAAAATCAATATCTATTTTATTAATTTCCAATGTAGATTTATTTATGATTACTCATAGTTAATAAAGAAATCTTATGTCACAGGATGCACAATAACATTTAATATTCTCATAACCTGTCTTACAAAAGTATTCGATTCTTTTAATAAATAAATCAGTTTTTATGTTATGATAATTTTAAATAAACAAATGTTACGTAAGTAAATTAATAATTATATATTAATATTTGATTACTAACATTTATTATTATTTATTGATTACATACAGAAAACAATTTAATTATAAATGCGCTTTTTAATTAAGTAATTTGTCATAGTCCTAAAATATATAAGAATTACTCGTACAATATGTAAAAATATATGCTCTATGCCAGCGTTTCTCAACCTATGTGTCGCGTTAATAATTTAATGAGTCACAAAATGACAGCTGTCACCTTGCGTCAAAACGTTAAAAAATTTATTCTACACTCCAAGAACAAACAAACATCCTGAGGAAAAAATATTCAAAATCTTATTTCATTCTTTTCGATTTCAGAATATGAACATAACTGTAGTATTTTTTGTGTTAAGAATTTGTGTGTTTGTCTCAGAAACTAGTTATTACATAATTTCTTGTTTTTTTTTATGTAAATATATTGAATTTCCATCATATATACATGAAGCTTTAAAAAACGAAACAAAATTAATATTTTTTTTTAAGTATTTATTCAAATTTATATAACTATCTGTGCTTATATTAGAACAATAGTTGCTATAAAAATTAAAATTATTATTTCATATTTGCAGCTTGCTTTGTTATTTATAACAATTATGAAATAATTATTATTGTATTTCATTGTTTTATTATTAAAATATCAATATATACCCTTTGTATAAATTGTTATATAGAATATTCGTTTGTATATTATAATCAATCGGAATTAAGCGAAATACAACATCAATATATTTATATTATGAACGGAGCGTAATATATTATTTATTTGGTAACATAAAGCATTATTAAACGTTAACTTTGACTATACAGAGTTGATTGAATAGTATAAATTGAATATTAATCAAATTGTTAGAATTTTAAATATTATTTTAAATAATAATAGTATTTATAAACTTTTTTTTTCGGACAAAGTTTTGTTTTTACAAACCGATGTTTCAGTATAAATTTAATTATACAGTGAAACCTCGCTTAACGAGTTTAATCCGTTCCAAAATTTCCGGTCATTTTTAGTCATATAGTGAAATACTCAATATTCAAAATTACACATAATATGTGTACACAAGTTTTAAGAATGATGTAATTCGGGACTTCTCTTATTATCGTCACTGGTTATGCGAAACATCGTTCGTTAAGCGAGTCATTTTTCTTATAATTCATTTTGATCGTTAAGCGAAATGCTCGTTATGCGAGGTGCTCATTAAGCGAGGTTCCACTGTATTTCAAAATATATCAATTTATTTATAAAGATAAAAAGAATATTTAAAATTCTATAATTTCAGCCATTTTTCGATTATTAAAGCTGAAAAGTATAGAATTGATTTATAAATGTATAATATATAATTTTGTTACCTTTTTTACATTTATTCTATTAATAATAATAATAATAATAATGTTTATTGCATTATTTACAAAAAAAAAACATATAAAGAAATAAAAAGAACAAAATAAATATATATAATTTCAAAAAAGTTAACTGATACAAAGGGCTATTGGCCATAGGTCTTTCTTCCCTTTATTCTATTATTTGTTTATAAATTTAAAATGCACTTTAAATATATAAATGATTCTTTTACTTCCGTGGTTTCTGATTTGGAAAGATTGTAATTAATATGTTCAAAAATAGACGAATAATTTTACTATATTTTCTTTGTTTATATATGGAATTATTTAAAATTAATTTTAGAAATTATTAATATAATTTAATTTCTATTTATTTTCAGTAAATTTATTAAATATTCTAGAAATTAAGTATAATTATCAAAATTCGTGTAATGTCAAATTAACAAATTTTTAAATTATGTTAATAACAAATTTGAAAACTCATTTTCCATATTTAAAATATAGTGATTTCTCTGTAGATGATTTATATAAATGAAATTGTTTATTTCACATTTAAAGATTATTGATATTGAAGAACAAAGTACAAATGTGAAATAGAATAATTTATTGTATTCATGTAAACACATTTATAATATTATTGCTATTGACCTTAGTTTTTTTTGACTATTTTATAAATTTATAAATTATTATTAAGAGATGTTACGTATTTCATGTAATAATGTTTGAAAATGTATGAAATTTTTGTGTGAATGAAAAATAATTTTTTTGATCGACGTCTATACAAAAAAATTCAAGGTGCTTTTGAGCGTCGTCGTTGGGAGGGCGTCTGCGTCGCGGGTGGAGTTAGTGGTGCGTCGGATCGTTAGTTCCATGCGTGGAACTACAGCCTACAGTACATACATTCCAGATACAGAATTCCAGTTACGTTTAACCAGTCGCTGAGTGAACGGCCAGGCCAGGCTAACCAGCAATCGCAGACAAGAAACTTGTCCAACGCGCGCGTCGTCCCTTCCTTCCCAAACGGAGAAGAAGAAAAGCGAAGAACTTCGACTACTACTACAACTAGCATAGGGAAAGAAAAAAGCGAAGCGCGAGTGAGAGAAGACCGTGTACAATTATTTGAAATTCCTCGAGTTTTGTGGATTTTTACGCATGCCTTCACTTCAGCGACGATCCTTCTTCGGTAAGTACAACATCCTCGCAGACATTGAACGTAGTGCTTGCTGTGTATATATGCATATATGAACACAAGCATCAAGAAATCGCTCTCTCGCACAATCGATGTAGAGGAGTCCCAGAGAGCCCAAACCCAAATGAAACTTGACATTTCCCTCTTCTTCGGCCGTTCGTTTGCCGACAGCTAGCAAATACAATTTACGAATATGATGTAAGTGAAAGGACCTCGGATGTAATAAACATCGGTTTTCCTCCTAAGCAGCAGCCGATTACTCCATTTAAAAATAATAAAATATGTGTATAATATGAATCGACGCAACAAGCCTATGCCAAATCTGCCCAAGAACAAAATCTATACGCACGCACACAACAACAAACCGAACAGAAAGCGCCGCATTGCATAACACATCCGAGCAAGAAGCATTATATAATCGGCAATTATACACATGGCACGGATGCATTATTTCGCTGGTATTAAAATTGATCGAGGGACAAAACGGATCCGATGCTAAAGCTTTAGTTAAATGCCCAAATTTCCTCGACACCCGAAACCGGTTACAGATTAACGCCTCATTCACATCATCGGCAGCATCATCAT